TGCATATAAGCCTCTGCCAGCTGTGAGCCCGCCTGGGCAGCTTCCCCAGCTGGGCAGAGTATGCTAAGCTGGAGGCAGCCAGCCTGCTCCTCCCACCCCCCCAACCCCCTACTGGGGCTCATCTTTGCTCTAGCTACCTCCCACTTTGGCTGTCTCCCCAGTCCTGCCCCACCCTACCCCCCATCACTCCTTCCTGGCCAGTGCCAGATTCCAGCCCAAACTCTGCTGGGCCTGGCGTGAGGGAGTCGCCTTATTCTGTGTGTCAGTCCTCAGCTGGCCTTGCCTAGTGCCTGTCTGAAGACCACTCCTGTTTCGATCACCAAGCTCTGTGGGCATGGGGAGGAGCTAGGAAGGCTGTGTTAAGCGCTCCCCCCGCTACCCGTGGGCCTGGCCACCCTGGACAATCTGCTCCCTGCTCCTCCCCCACAGTGTGGCTGGCTACCCAAAACCACAGCACCCTGGTGACAGAGCGCAGCGCTGTGCCCTTCCTGCCTGTTAACCCTGAATACTCAGCCACACGGAATCAGGTGAGGAGGCTTGGTGGGGGGCCTGGGGCTGCTTCCTCCCTTTCTGGGGTCACCAGCTCTGTAGGCCCTGCCCTTCCTCTTCGGCTGTTGTCTGGGATGGGGCCTGGGCCTGTTCTTGTGCTTCTCCACCCCTTACCAAGGCCTCCCTCCAGGCCTGGCTGGCACTGGGATTTGGGAGTGGGGAAGAGGCTGTTCTTTTGAACACTTGGTGAGCAGCTTCTGGGGGGTGGATTCCAGCCTCTTCCTGAGAGCGCCCCTAGGCACCCTGAATTTATGCCATCCCTCACCCCTGCCCTGGCCAAGTGAGCTGGGCTGAGATATTTTAGCTGTAGTTAAAGCAGATAGCAGGGGCCCCGTCATGCCAGCCTGGCCCGTTCTGCCTCCCAGGGGCGACAGAAGTTGGCCCGCTTTAATGCCCGAGAGTTTGCCACCTTGATCATCGACATTCTCAGCGAGGCCAAGCGGAGACAGCAGGGCAAGAGTCTGAGCAGCCCCACAGGTGGGAAGGGTGAGGGTAGAGGTGGAGGTGGGGGCACTGTTCCAGGATATTCTGTGTCATGGCTCCCTTCCGGGGGTAGCATGATAGATGGGCTCTGTGGCTGAGCCCTGAGTGACAGGCCTGTGCCCTCAGACAACCTCGAGCTGTCTGTGCGGAGCCAGAGTGACCTCGACGACCAACACGACTACGACAGTGTGGCCTCGGACGAGGACACTGACCAGGAGCCCCTTCGCAGTGCCGGAGCCACGAGGAACAACCGTGCTCGGGTCTGAGCTCAGCCCCTTCCTGGTCCCTCTCTGGGCCTCCATCAAGGCCCAGCTCTACCCTCTTGTAGCCCAGGGCCTGGGGGACAAGTGGGCTGGTCACATCTTGGAGAGAAGCCCTATGTCCCTGTCTTTGGTGGCCAACCGGCTTATGTCTCACCCTGCAGAGCATGGATTCCTCAGACCTCTCTGATGGGGCCGTGACGCTGCAGGAGTACCTTGAGCTGAAGAAGGCCCTGGCCACCTCTGAGGCAAAGGTGCAGCAGCTCATGAAGGTCAACAGTAGCTTGAGTGATGAGCTCCGGAGGCTGCAGAGGGAGGTGAGAATCGTGGCCTGAGTGGGAGTGGGGGCTCCCAGGGCCTCAGTGGGGAGGTGCTGCCTGGACCCGCTGGAGTTTCTGACACCGCTCCACTCTCAGATCCACAAGCTGCAGGCAGAGAACTTGCAGATTCGGCAGCCACCTGGGCCGGTGCCCACACCCCCACTCCCCAGCGAACGGGCAGAACACACATCCATGGGGCCTGGTGCCCACCGCAGGGACCGCCAGGCCTTCTCCATGTACGAACCAGGCTCTGCCCTGAAGCCCTTTGGGGGCCCACCTGGGGACGAGCTCACCACCCGGCTACAGCCTTTCCACAGCACTGTGAGTTGCCCACTCAGGGTGGTGGGGAAACAGAGGGCTAGGTCCGCCACAGAGCCCTCTGTGATAGCCACTGTGCAACCCCCAGGAGCTGGAGGACGATGCCATCTATTCAGTGCATGTCCCTGCCGGCCTTTACCGGGTAAGCAGGGTCTGGGACAAGTGGGTCCGTTTCTGCAAATAGATTCTGAGCCCCCTTGGGTGCCAGGCTTTGTGCTGGAGGCTGGGCACAAGGATGACTAGACACACACGGTTCCCACCTTCTGTGCGGGGAAGCTGGAAAATGGGTGACAGGGAGGAGGAGAGACTGACTCCAACCCTCCTGGGTTTTAGATCCGGAAGGGGGTTTCAGCCTCAGCTGTGCCCTTCACTCCCCCTTCCCCACTGCTGTCGTGCTCCCAGGAAGGAAGCCGCCACACGGTAAAGTCCCATCCCTGTGCCCAAGGGACAAGCTGAATGGGATGTGTATGTGGGAGGTTATGGGGGGCTGTGTGGGTCTATGCATGTGTACCTCACCTACTGCCCCTTCCTTGCACCCTCCAGAGCAAGCTTTCCCGCCACGGTAGCGGTGCCGACAGCGACTATGAGAACACACAAAGTGGGGACCCCTTGCTTGGGTGAGGCACCCCAGCAGAGGGAGGTCCAGTGGGCCCTGGAGTGTCTGAGGGCACAGGCAGGAGGCCTCATGGCTGGAATGTCTCTTTCTAACCCCGGGCCTCAGACTGGAAGGGAAGAGGTTTCTAGAGCTGGGCAAGGAGGAAGACTTCCACCCAGAGTTGGAGAGCCTGGATGGAGATCTGGACCCTGGGCTTCCCAGCACAGAGGACGTCATCCTGAAGACAGAGCAGGTCACCAAGAACATTCAGGAATTGTTGCGGGCTGCCCAGGAATTCAAGCATGACAGGTATGGGGGTGGGGTACAAGCTCATATGGCCTGTGGGTGTTGGTTGCAAAGGGTGAGAGGGGCCAGTGTTACACTGTCCCTGGGAACCTTCCCTGAGCGCCCCTCTAATGTATACCCCCCTCCCCCACAGCTTTGTGCCCTGTTCAGAGAAGATCCACTTGGCTGTGACTGAGATGGCCTCTCTCTTCCCAAAGGTACAGGGGCCAGAGAGGAGCAGGATTGGGAGGGCCTCGGGGTGGGACAGGTATAGAGTCTTACTGCTGCCTGGACACACCAGACCATGGTCATGGCTCATGAGTTCGAAGTCAGAGGCCGACTCCCACCTCCCTCCCTCCAGAGACCAGCTCTGGAGCCGGTGCGCAGCTCTCTGCGGCTGCTCAATGCCAGCGCCTACCGGCTGCAGAGTGAGTGCCGGAAGACAGTGCCTCCGGAGCCTGGAGCCCCTGTGGACTTCCAGCTGCTGACTCAGCAGGTGATCCAGTGCGCTTATGACATTGCCAAGGCTGCCAAGCAGCTGGTCACCATCACCACCCGAGAGAAGAAGCAGTGACCACTCTCCCTGTACCCTCACCTACACCCTGGGACCTCACTGGCCATGGGAGCTGGGCCACTCCAGACACTAATCCCCCCCCACAACAGAGCCACTGGCGCAAGTGCCCTTAGTGCTGCCACTCTCCCCTGGCAGCCAGGCGCCCTGGTGCCCGCCCCGCTCCAGCCCCCAAGGATGGGGAGGTGGGGTGGCAGGAGCTTCTGTCCCCCACATTCCATTCACCTCCCCCTGTACATAGCATCCTATCCCCTTCTAGCGTGTAGGGGCCTGTTTTGGCATCACTCCCAGCCCCTTGCCCTCCAGGGCACCCTCAGCAAAGGGTCTGGTGGGGACACTCCAGGTGGGGCGGTTCCCCTTACATGCATCCCACCCCCATGAGCCAGTTCAGCCCTTTAGGGGGCTGAGTGGGGGCATCCCCTTCCTTTGTACATAATCTCTGTGGATGTCCCCCCCCCGTAGCCACCAGCCCCCATGCTGCTCTCCTTTAATGCCAAACGGCCCCTGCCTAGGGCACAGGCCCTAACCTGTGTTCCGGGGTCCCCAGCAGCAAACACTGGAAAATTTTTTTTTTCTTTTCTCTCTTCCACCCCTTAATTTTAATGTCGTGGTAACTGAGTGTCCCTGCGTGCCTGTGTGTGAGTATGTGGGGCGGCAGTGCCGTTCCAGAGGCCTGGCCCATATGGAGTTTTGTGAGGGATGAGGGGACCAGAGCAGTAGGACCAGCATTGGGGGTTAGCCCCCCTCTCACCCATCCTGGGGCCAGGGACTGCCAGCATAACCAACTGGGGTCCTGCCCACTGCCTCCCCTCATCACTCCCACCACTCATACCCCTTCTTATAAACTTAAAATGAAAACCACTTCCTCTATCTCTCCTCCCCCTCTCTATGGAGGGGGAGTGTGCTGGCTGGGGCAGAGAACTGAGCAGCTGACCCTGGGGCTGGCTCCCCAGGGTCCCTGACTCAGCTGAGAGGCCCCTCCCTATAACCTCTGAGAGGCTAGCACCTGTGCCTGTGGTATCTGGGCACCTGGAACCTGGGCTGCAGCCTGGGAAGGCTGGAGAGGCAGATGGCAGTGCCCACCAGCTCTTCTCTCCGTCCTGCCTTTGTCCCAGAGGGCCAGGCTAGGCCTGTGTGGTGGTGGATGGGCTGACTGTCAAGATGTGTATCATGTACATTTGTATCAAAAATAAATAAGTGACCATGCGCTCTTTCTGATGCTTATAGAATTAATGAGAACAGGGCTGGGGAGGTGGAAACATGAAAGGGAGAAAGACAAATCTGTCAGGAGTATGAAGCATATGAACACATCTGCTCCAGACTCCACACAGGGAAGGGAAGCCCTCTTGCTCTTTTGGAGAAGGCGCTTGGAAATAATATATCAGTAAGTAACACCACCAGTTCCCCCCACAGTGGTGGGAGGGGTTTGCTCACACTCCTAAAACCCTGCCTCTAAGGCCAGGTTGGCAGTGCCCAACTTGATTTTATAAAACTCCCTACCTCACACAACACTGCCTAGGCCTGGCTAGGAGTGTGTCTGTATGGCAGATGTACAAACTCAACGCCAGATTCTACTAAAATAATTTAATTAAAAATACAGGGAGTTTTGGTAAGGGAGGTAAAACAGCTCCTTTTTCTCCCCTTCACCAACACTCCCCACAAATAATACATTGAGGACCAACCCTTCTGCGAATACTTAGGCAGCACTGCTCCATCAGACCACCAGGGGGCGGCCCTGCACTGTCCACGTGGCAGAGGTCGCGGCCTCCCCGGGGAGGAGGAGCAAAACCTGCCACAGTGGCAAGGCTGGGGCAAATCAGTCGGAGCTGTCCCCGTCTGGGCCGCTGTCCGGTGTGGGTGGGAGGAGGGGTCTCCGGCGGGAGCGCTTGACCCGACGCGGGGGCATCAGCAGCCTCCTCTTCAGCACAGCTATGGGCAGAGTGGGAAGCAGTCAAGGACAGAGAAGCCATGGGGTGTGGGGGCAGGGATGGAGGTGGATGAAGAAGGGAACATCTCACCAGCCACAGTGTCTTGGCTGTCTGCTATGGGCCCCCAGTAGATGCTCTCCCCCCGTCGGAAGTTTCGGTGCAGCCGAGTGCAGAGTGTGGCCAGGGTGAGCAGCACCAACAGGAAGGTCAGGGCCATGGCAGCCCAGGCAGCCTCCTCTGTGCGTGGGGTGGGGCCCCCCACTGCCCGCGGAGGTGCTGCTGCCCGAGGGGCAGGGGAAGCCTGGCTTGGACAGGCACAGCCACCCGGGCTGCTCTGCCCTATGGGCACCTGAGTCTCTATCCTGTAGCTGGCATTGCCTCCAGGCCCCTCAGGCAGCAGGGGGGCAGTGGGCACAGATGGGGCATTACCCCCCTCACCTGGCATTCCTAACATGGGCTTCCTGGCTTCCAAGCTCCATGGGGAAGCAGATGGGAGCCTCAGGGCTGAGGGAGTAGGCTGGAGACCAAGGGCAGCCCGTAGCCCACGCCGCTTGGCACTACCAAGAGAGTGCTGCCTGGGCCCTCTAGACACCACTTCTGTGCCTGGGGGCCGCCAGCTCCGCAGAGTAAAGGCCAAAGTTGGGGCCTAAGGCGAGAAGAGAGGGCACTCACCCTTTCTCTGCCCAGATAACCCAATGACCAGACCACCAACCAAGCCTAGGCCCAGTACCCCTTACCTGCACACACCCTCTCCAGCACAGCTTCCCTCTGCCTGGCGTTCGAACCAAGGGAGAGGGCCCAGAACGGCTGTCCAAGAGGAACCATGCCTTCTTCCTCTGCTTCTTCCGCCGCCTTCTCTTCAGCCAGTGGGCAGCCTGGGCTGGATCCACCCATGCCATCTCCAGCACCACCCCCCACGCTTCCAACACCAGGGGCTATGAAAGGAGGTAATTGTTAGAGCTAAGATGAAGGTGGGGAAAGAGCAAGGGGAAGCCCCGGAATTTTCCTTTCACTACACATGGGGCTGCAGCCTCTGCCAGTGCCAGACAACCGACTTTCACCAACCACTTACCCGATCCTGAGTGAGGCTGGAGTCAGGGGCCAGTGAGGGATGGGCCACATGAACGTGAGCAAGGAGGGCAAGCTGGAGCTTCAGCCAGGGGTGGGCACAGGGGTGGTAGAGAAAGCTGACATCTTCAGCCTGGAGGAAAGGCTCAGAGACATCAAGCCAGGCCCCGTCCTTCCCAGAGAATCCCAAGTTCTCCCATCCTGGGGGCCAGGTTAAAGGGACTTCCAGGGTGGCCACATGACCCTTCCACTATCAGGGCTCAGAAAAGGACAAAAGACCCTGGTACTGGCATGCATTCCCTCTTGCCTCTGAGCATTCCTTTCACCCCTCCTCCATCAAGTGCCACCCTTCAGAGCTCACAACTTCCATGACAGCATGCCTAGTTATCTCTGTCAGACCCCGATTACACTCTTTAGCTGTATTTCTCTGCACCTGCAATGATGGCTCTACAGGTCCCTGGTCTAGACTGTAAACATCCTCTGTATGGAGACTAGGTCTTCTTTTTATTGATTCCATCTATATAGTCAGTCTTCCAAAAGCATCCAAATACAGGGCACACAGGCAGCAGCAGGTGCACAGTCCCAGGATGAAAACACTATCAATTATTAATATTCTTTGATTGAGCTGACCTGATGCTCAGCACTGTGCCAGATGCTGTAGGAGATGCCAAAAGAGAACTGGACTCCGCTTGCAGGGAATGTAAAGGAAACTCAGGGAAACAGAACTAATGCAAATGAAAGAGCAAACTAATAAAACTCAAATTGATTAGTTGTTAAGCTTTAAGACTTAAGTTATAAACATTACACAAATTTGGAGAAGGTGATGAATAAGGGCAAGGTCTCATGGGAGAGCTGACTCCTGCACTGGGCTTTGAAGATGGCTGGGTATGGATGGCAGGTGGCCAGGGAGCCGCCTGCTTCAGCTTCAGGTCAAGACAGGATAGGTGTAGAGGAAAATACACAGGAGCAAAGGTAGAGCTATAGGAATGAACCTGGCAGTCACATGTGGGTGAGCAGACCAACATGACTGGAGAAGAACCACAGATTTAGAGAGGTCAGAGAAGGCTTAATTAACTAAGTAGGGCCTGAAAAGCCAGGCAATGGAGTATGGCCACAATAAGGTGGGAAATAAAGGCCATCAGAGGTTTCTGAACAGCAAAATGATTTAGTGAAAGGGCTGTCTGAGGAAAGGAGTCAGGTAGGTGGGATGAGGTCTCTTGGCCTGGAACTACTACAAGGATCAAAAAAGTGAGATATTTCAAAAGGAAAACCAAAGGGATATGGAAGCTATCTGGCCACTGGCAAAAACAGACAGGCAGTCATGCAAGGTGAACGCACAGTTTGGAGCCTGAGGCACACTCCTTATACAATACAGCTTCCTACTTTCCAAAGTGCTGTCACACACTATTCACTTACTCCTCATGGGTAGGGGCATTACCAATATCCTCTGTTACAGAAAACTGGGGCCCAGAGAAGTCAGGAGACTTCCCACAGTCACACAGCAGAGTTGGAGCATGAGTTGTTGTGTTTTCCTACTATCCTCAGAGTTCTTGCAGCCTCCTACCCACAGAGCCCGCTACTCAACAGCATTCCTGACACAGCACTGCAGAGGACAGAGGCCTGCGGCTCACTGTCCGGACTAAGAGCATTGCCTCTTCCTGAGGGAAGTGGTAAAGAACAGAGCTGATGAGCAGAAAAGGCAGAGAAAGCCTGCAAGTGCATACACCAAGGATGGCTCCTGTGGTACTCACCCGCCGCGGGCTCATCCGTGTGTACGTCACTCTTGGTGACACCTATGTATGGGGGAAGAAGAGAGCTTAAAGCAGCCGGGAGACTGTGTGGGGCGTGAGGCGGGGACAGTAGGACCTATGCATCCAGGCTGGGATGAAGACGTTGGCGACTGAGGGATGGAGGAACCGGCAGAGGTCCTCAGAGGGTGACTGTGGAGGGTGCACAGGGGCCAGAGCGGGACTGGGCTACCCCTTCAGACCCTCTCTCACATCGCCCTGCAGGATCCTACCTGTTGGGGCAGAGGCCACAGGCCCTCCGGACAACCGGCTCCCGCCTCCTCCGCGGGTTCAGCCATCACCTGTGGGTCCAAGGCGCAGAAGAGCTTGGGCGCCGGCCTCGGCGAGGGCCCTGCCCTCTCCCAACCCAGGCCCTGCCCGCCAGGGGAGGACTCCTAGTCCTCTCTCGGCGCGCCACTCCTTCCAAGACAAACTTTCGGCAAAGACCTCTGAGATCCCCGGCCGAAGCCTTCTCAGGAGCCTTACCTCAGTGGGACTCAGGAGCCCCGCCAGAGCTGCCAGGAGAAGCAGCTGGGGCGAAGGCGGAGGAGGCGCCATCCCAGATCCGGCCCGCCGCCTCGCCAGGGAGGGAGGGAGCGCGCCCCGCCCCGCCCCGCCCCGCCCCCGCGCGCTCACGTAGACCCCGGCCTCGCGCGCGCCGTTCCGCCCCCCGCACCCGACTACGCGCGGGGACACCCCGGACTCGCACTCCCCAGCCTCGCCCCGCCCCCGCAGCTCCGCGCGGCCCGCGCTCCGCCTCCGCCCCGCCCCAATGCCCGCCCACAGCCGCGGAGGGTGCGCGCACGCGTGCCGAACACCAAGCCGGAAAAGTTTTGTGTGGGAACCCGGCCCAAGAGCAGCGCGCTACAAGGCAGACAGGGACCACCTCCTCCGCTCGGCATTCAACCCAGAGGGTCTCCGCGGCCTGCAGAGCGCAGCTGCAGCGCCTGAGTGGGGTCAGGGAGCGGGGCGAAGGGCGGGAGTGGGTCCCTGTCGACCCGGTGGCTGAGGAGGGGAGACGGGCACGCTCCTCGGGCAGGCTTGCTTCAGACCCGTCAATGTGAAGAAGGGCAGAATCACGAAGTCCGAGCTGAGAAGGAAGAGATTCCCCGCCCTAGAGCCTCGCCTTCAGCTCACCCCACTTCTCCCCTCACAAGTAGGGCCCGAAGGGTCTCAGCCCTCCACTCGGGCAGGCCGGAGCCGGGCCCGGTACTGCTTTGTTCCCCACCTCCGCCTCCGCTCTCGTTCGGTGGCCGGCGTGTGTGCTCAGGGACACATTGGTCACCGTGAGGTGGAGGAGCCACACCAGGGAACAGTGGCCAGACCTCCCTTGAAGCGGGGCTCCGCCTCTGCAGCCCTCTCTCGGGTCCCCGTTTCCTTGGCTCTCCTCAGGATTTTGAGGAAAGACGGGAACGTGAGTGGGGGTGAGGGCTGAGATGCCTAGCCCCAAACTTCCAAATAGAGGAAGAACGTTTTATTTCAGTCATCTCGCACATACCTGTGACTCACAGAACGATGCCTAACCCTTTCCCCCCCCCACCCCCCGTAACTGCCAGCCGATGAAGGGACTCCAATCTATCCCCTGCCACAGCCCCATCACAGGGTGACCGGCATCGCCCTGGCCCAGCACCCGAGTGCATCTTTTCCCCAGCTGATTCTCAGAGGCGTGGGGCTCTTTCTTCTGGGGAAGTCCTTCCTAGGGAGCGGTTTTAAAGATTTCTTCTATCTGAAGCCAGGCTTCTGGGGGAGGGGGCGAGCTCCGGAAGGATGGGGACAGCGCGCTGATGCAGGCGAGGGAACGAGCAGCCAGCCCACCGGCTCTCCAGCGTCCCGCCGCGAACCAGCTTGCCTTGGTCCTCCCAGGCCCTGAGCCAACCCCTCACCAGGCTGGGGTATTGCGCAGTTGCTGGTGCCTACGGGCCGAGAGAAACACCAAAGTCAGGGAGCGCGGCCGAGCCCGGGGAGGGAGGCGCGGCTGGTGCCTTCGGCTGCAGGTCCGAGAGCCCGGGAGCCCGGGAGCCCGGGAGCCCGGGAGCCCGCCCCGGGAGCTCGCGCCCGGAGCTGCGGTTTATTCACTTTTCTCTTTTGCTACTTCTCAACAGCGGCCCCTGAGGGCGCAGCGACGCAGAGTCTAACCCGCAGCTACTCTTGCTCATCCCGGTCCCCCAAGCCTCGGTCTCGGAGTCTCCCCACTTCTCTGTCGCCAACACCCCACTGCTCGGCTCGCTGCCCTCCCCACTCCCTTCCGGCTCGCCGGCGCGTCCTCGCTCCCTCTCCGTGGCCTCGGTTCCTTTCACCCTCTGCTCCTGTTTGTCGCAATCGCTGTACAAAGGGCCAGGGGCGGGAGTGGGGGGCGGACGAGGGGAGCCAGGCCCAAACTGGCTGCCTCTTCGGGGCCGCGGCCAATCCAGAGACCGCCCCCCCGCGCGGGAGGGCCCTGGGCAGCCGCCCGCGGCCGGGCGGAGCCGCGGGCAGAGCGGGGAACTCGCCGAGGGATCAGCAACATCGCTTGCCGCCCGCTCTCCGCCACCCGCCACCCGCCGGGGGCTCTTCTGCCTCGCCATGCCGCCGTGGGGCGCCGCCCTCGCCCTGCTCCTAGCCGCGATCGCCTTGCTTGGCCTGCTTGTCCCAAGTCTGCGGCGCCTCGGGAGGCGCACCGTCGGAGCCAGGACCCTACCGGGGGCCCGGGGCCAGGACGACAATGAGGAGGCGGACAGCGGAGGCCCGGCGGACCAGTTCAGCAACGGGCGCGAGCCGCTGCCCGGCGGGTGCAGGCTCATCTGTAAGCCGTCGGCGCTGGCACAGTGCCTGCTGCGCGCCTTGCGACGCTCGGCAGCGCTGGAGCCGGGCCCGCGCTCCTGGCTCTCCGGGCCCCACCTGCAGACCCTCTGCCACTTCGTGTTTCCGGTGGGGCCGGGTCCTGAGCTGGCCCGGGAGTACCTGCAGTTAGCGGACGACGGACTGGTGGCCCTGGACTGGGTCGTGGGACCATGCGGCCGGGGCCGCCGAGTCACCAACGCCGGGGGCCTTCCAGCGGTGCTGCTGGTGATCCCCAATGCATGGGGGCGCCTCACACGCAATGTGCTCGGCCTCTGCCTGCTCGCCCTAGAGCGCGGCTACTACCCGGTCATCTTCCACCGCCGCGGCCACCACGGCTGCCCGCTGATCAGTCCCCGGCTGCAGCCTTTCGGGGACCCATCCGATCTCAAGGAGGCTGTCACTTACATCCGCTTCCGACACCCCGCAGCCCCGCTGTTCGCGGTGAGCGAGGGCTCCGGCTCGGCGCTGCTGCTGTCCTACCTGGGCGAGTGTGGCTCTTCTAGCTATGTGACGGGAGCCGCCTGCATCTCCCCGGTGCTGCGCTGCCGCGAGTGGTTTGAGGCCGGCCTGCCCTGGCTCTACGAGCGGGGCTTTCTTCTCCACCAGAAGATCGCCCTCAGCAGGTGGGTAACAGAGGCCGCAGACCCCTAAGGGGGGAATAGGGGTCTTGGTCTGACTGAGACACAGCTTTGCCTGGTATGGACTCAAACAGGTCTAGGGCGATTTGGGCAAAGATCTCCTCACACACTATCTGCAGCTGTCCAAACCCTCTAGTCTAGAGAGAACCAGGGAAACCAGTTTAAAAACCACAGACGACTCAGTCAGCATCATTGTGCTAAGCAGGGCCTCCTGCCCTGGGCCCCCTGGCCTCAACTCAGCCTCACAGTGTCCTAGCAACCTGAGCACCTGCCCCGCCCGCGGCAGAGGCACTGCCTGACATTTACCACTAAGTCCGTAGCTTGTCAAATCAGCAAAGAGGGCTCTGGAAGCAGTTTGCAGCTGGTTATCTGACCAGAATATTCCCTTATAGTCTTTGAGCCTGGAGGTGACAGGAATAAAAAAATTGGTGGTATTTGATTAATTAAAACTTTTTAGACTGCACAAATGTTTTGCATATTCCTAGGTATGTACTTAATATTTAATGCAAAACTTTAAAGAATATTTAAACATAACTTTAAAAAATCTAAATAAAAACAGTCTACCCACCACGAAGGAGACAGGTGAGACTTTTCCACTGAGAGGCCTGAGCAACATTCCCACAGCACATTAACCAGGCCTCAGCTTGCACTGTCGATTTCCTAGGAGACGGCAGAATGAGGTCAAAGACATTGTGGCAACAGTGTGGCGTGGCAGAAAGATCTGGAATGTGGGGTCAGGCCATTTGGGTTAAAATCCTGAATTTCCAGCAAGTTAGTAAACTCCGTGGAGTCTTACTTCTCTCTTCAGTTAAATGGGGTTAATAATAACTACTTCCAAAGTACATATAAGCATGAAATGAGATAATGGAAGTGAGGGCTTGGCACTGGGTAGGTACTCAGTTAATGGTGGCGATTGTAATTTCTCTTTATTTTCTTGCCCCATTTGCCTCCTGTTTTGAGATCAAACCCTGAACTCAATAATAGCACTCTACCATGCAATCCAGAGCCACCACAGCAGTCCAGGGGCAAGGTGCTCTCATATGGCTTAATTGCCAGTTTCCATCCCCAAATGACCACCACTAGCACTGATCCTGGATACCAGCTGGAGGATAAGGTTAGGGAAGTGGAGAGGAAACCCGAGCCTTTAGTAACTGCCCTGCCCATGGAAGTTTGGGGTTAAAAACTCAGGGCAAGTTTCTTTGAATGTTTTCAGGAGACACACATCCAAATTTAATGGACTAACGCTGGATTAATCCACCCAAAGGTCTGAGCTGCCCATCCTGGCCTCGTCATCAGGGTCCCAGGCCTTCTCCAGGGAGGTGGCAACAGCAAAAATGTCCCTCTTCCACAGAACAGTTGCTCTCAGGCTCTCATTTGGTAACTCTCCCTGTAAATTTTATTTTATTTTTAATATTTTTCTTTATTGATTTTAGAGAGAGAGGAGGGAGAGGGAGAGAGATGGAAACATCCATGAGAGAGAACATTGATCAACTGCCTCCCTCACCATGCTACCGGGGATCTGTCCGCAACGGGGGCATGTGTCCTGACCAGGAATTGGACAGGTGACCTCTTGGTGCATGGGTCGATGCTCAACCACTGAGCCGGCTGGGCTCGCTCTGTAAATTAATTACAGTCACTTCCTCTGCCATCCAGCCCTCTCTAGGAATACCTTCTCCATATATTCATTTGTCATTATCTGGATAGCATATTAGCTTTTAAAACACAAACAAGCAAATATAACCTAAAGTAAAATGTTAATTATGGCCGGTGGGGGTGTTGACACCTGCTGGTTTGGATAGTTTGAGCCAGTGAGTTGTTCTAGGAGGGGTTCAGGAGGTGACAGTGCATAGCAAGTTCCCCACAGAGGGTCAGGAGTTGAGGTCAGGAGGAGAGCTGTTGCTGTAGCTCAGGGGCTATAAAACCAAATGCTGCCCCCATGCTGGGCAGGTAGTGCCTTGAATGACAGACCTGATAGGAACCCTGACACAGGAAGGAGGGAGGAAATACCCTGATTGTTGCCCTCAGGAATGCCAGCCTATGTTGCCAGATCTTCTCATTTGTCTAGAGGAGCCTGATAGCTGCATTTTATGTGAAACCTCCTGATTTTAAATGATGACAATGAAATGGAAGTTTTTTAAATTTTTTTTTTAGTTTATTGATTTGAGAGAGAGAGAGAGGAAGGGAGAGACAGAAACATCAATGAGCAAGAACATTAACTGGCGGCCTCCTGCATGCACCCCACTGGGGCCTAGGCCCACAACCTGGGCATGTGCCCTGATTGGGAATCAAACGGCGACCTCTTGGTGCATGGGTCAGTGCTCAACCGCTGAGCCACACCAGCTGGGCTGAAATGGAAGTTTTTAAAACATATGGCCATGCCCTGGCCGGTTTGGCTCAGCGGTTAGAGCGTCGGCCTGCGGTCCAGAGAGACCCGGGTTCGGTTCCCGCTAAGGGCATGTACCTTGGTTGCAGTTTGTCCCCGGCCCTGGTCGGTTGTGTGGGTGGCAGCCACTCGATGTGTTCCTTTCACGTCGATGTTTCTCTCTCTCTCCCTCCCACTCTACCTGAACAAAAAATGGAAAAATGACCTCAGGTGAGGATAAAAAACAAACAAACAAAAAAAACATATGGCCAAAGAAAGACCCTGTGGCCAGAATCTGGCCTGTGGTCTGCCAGTTTGTCAATTTGTTTTCTAATTCTTCCTTCTTTCTTACCTTCTCTATTCAACTTCTTGCTGCCAGGTATGCCACGGCCCTGGAGGACACCGTGGACACCAGCAAACTGTTCAGGAGCCGCTCCCTTCGAGAGTTTGAGGAGACCCTCTTCTGCCACACCAAGAGTTTCCCCATCAGTTGGGATACCTACTGGGACCACAACGACCCCCTCCGGGATGTGGATGAGGCAGCCGTACCTGTGCTGTGTATTTGTAGTGCTGATGACCCCGTATGCGGGCCCCCAGACCACTTTCTGCCCACTGAACTCTTTCACAGTAACCCCTACTTCTTCCTCCTGCTCAGTCGCCACGGAGGCCACTGCGGCTTTCTGCGCCAGGAGCCTTTGCCAGCATGGAGCCACGAGGTCATCTTGGAGTATTTCCGGACCTTGACTGACTTCTTCCGAACAGAAGAGAGGATGAAAGGGCTGAGCAAGCACCGAGCTTCATTCCTAGGGGGGCGGCGACGCTGGGGAACCCTGCAGAAGCGGGAGGTCTCTTCTTCTTCCAGTCTGGATGACATCTTTAGCTGGAAGCGATCATATACAAGGTGAGACCTGGCCAGAGAATGCCTGCAAGGAAAAACAGAGGACTGAATGGGGCAAGCATCTCTAGCTCTTTGCTACCCGTTTAGCCCTTTCTTCTTTTCTGGTCTGTGGAAAGAAAAGAAACTTCCAGTTAGCTGCCACTTACTTCACTCTGAGCAGAACTCCTGCCCAGCTCTGCTCAACATATTCCTGTTCATCCTGGTCAGCAGCTGGGCATTCCTGTTCACTGTCTTCTGTCACTGACCTCATAAACCAAAGATTAGTATTGTTTAAACCCATGGACTCAGGATAAAATGCTCTCTCCCTAGCAATGACTACAGAGAAGATGAGTTTCTGTGTCATTGGGCAGCTCTGTCCCACATAAATAATCAGCTCTGTGACCCTGACTCTCAAGCTGAAGCCACTCGAAGTACCGAGGACAGGATGTTTGTGTCTCCATCCCACTTCCCTCCTTGCATTCTGTGGTTGTGGCACTCTGCTGACTTCATGGGGCTGACGGTTGTGGAAGTGGGCTCACAGAGCCGCGTGGCTGCCTCTGTCCTGCTGAGTGTGAGACGGGCAGTGGAGGCAGTAAGTGCAGTGCTGAGATGGATCAGCAAGAGCCACCAGGTAGAAACTGTGAATGCCTGTCTAGAATACGAAGGTCCAGCCTTTCTGATGTCGTCTGCAAGTCTTGGTTGGGAATGGAGTGGATCTGCAGCTTCAGCCCAGGACCTCAAGCTTCACTGGACGGATTCCCAAGGATGGTTTTAAGAACAGGAAGTCCTTGAACACAGTCTGCTAGACCATGGCTCAAGGAGCCAGACTTTCAGGCTCTCTAGCTGCTCCTTCTGGTACTATTTCTGGGGATTATTACTCCAGAGAGCTCTGGCCAGAGGTGCTTTTCTCCTGTGATATGGGCATTCTCTAAGTAGTGAGAAGTATAAACCTCATATCTTAGGTGTTGTCCCATTAGCTGCCCTCTTTTCTGACACTACTACTGGCCTCTCCATCTCCAGAACCTGGAGAAACATCTGGGACCAGGGAAAACAAAAATTTCCAAGAGGTTGGCTAGAACTGACTCAGTAATTTATGAATATTTCATATTACTATGCTGTTTTCTGCTCAGTTATTCCAAATGCCATTCATGTAGATGCAGAAAAAGCTTATTCCTGGATCTGGCCACTCAGTGACTGGGCTGTTTGGTTTTATTAGGAATAATGCTGAAGACCAGCATAAAATAAGGCGTTGTACACATTGACCCACTTGTTCTGGTTTGGATTAGACCATTAAACAATACATTGGGACATCTGATTCCATGTGCTGCTAAGAGTTTGCCCTGAAGTTTTATTTTAATTTTTCACTGAGAAATCGGGCACCTGTTTTGACTGGAAGCTCCACCCTAGCATCACAAACAGCAAGTGATTTTAAAGAGAGATGTTTACTGAAGCCATATCCTAAGGCTTGGTATGAGGACTTCCAGGGGCCATGATTTGAGGTTTTGATAATCTCAAACCTTGTTCTTCTAGATCAAATAAGAAACTCTGAACTATCCAAGAATCTAAACTGAAGTGCAGACAACACTCAATTGTCTAAGGTACATTCACCTGTCATGAAAATAATTACATTCCTCCTTTCCCACTTCTTGTTCCTCCTCCTCCACACTCCTCATCTGAAAGCCTTTCACCATTTATGAGCAGGAGAAATGACAAGGAACTGAAATCTAAAGAAGCTGTTTTACTGCTTATTAACCATCTCCATGTAAGGTTTGGTGAGGGAGAGTTGCTGACACCAGGCCACTCCTCTCCCCCAGCATCAGGTACCATGGGAACTTCAGTTAATTAAGGTCTTATAATCCCATATTGGTACCCTAGGATCATTCAGAACTGAATGCAAAATGGGAAGTAGCCCATTGTTTTTGTTTGTTTTTTATCCTCACCTGAGGACATTTTTCCATTTTTTGTTCAGATAGAGTGTGAGGGAGAGAAAGGGAGAGAGAGAGAGAGAGAGAGAGAGAGAGAGAGAGAGAGAGAGAGAGAGAGAGAAACATCGCCGTGAAAAGGACACATCAATTGGCTGGCACCCTCACGACCCAACCAGGGCCGGGGACAAACTGAAACTGAAGTACGTGCCCCTAGTGGGAACCGAACCCGGGTCTCTCTGGACCGTAGGCCAACGCTCTAATCGCTGAGCCAAACTGGCCAGGTTAGCCCACTGGTTTTTAAACACTGCTGTTTCTGGTTTAAATGGCCCCAAGGGCTAAATCTGTATTGTTTCTCTAGGCCAGATACCTTGGAACTCTGGTTCTTTAAGATAATAGCTTTTTGAGAAGTTGTTTGTTTCCCTTTTCTTTTATAGGAAAGAAAGTCTGCCAGGTGGGATGGAGCCTGGACTAGGGCTGTCCTGCCTATTTTAGGGCTTTAAAAGTTACAGGCAGGACAGCCCTAGTCCAGGCTCCATTAATTCCCTTGGACCCACAATCCTAATGACTTAAATCAACTATTTTCAACCTTTTTCATCTCATGACACACATAAACTAATTACTAAAATTATGTAGCACAAATATATATTTTTGCCAATCTGACAAAAAAATGGGTGTACTTTTTATTGACTTACAAAAATAATACTAATTACCTACCCTTTTTGCTCCAACGTGACTTTTTATTTATTTTTCAAAGTGATTTAAACATTTTTTTTTCTTTATTGATTTTAGAGAGAGAGGAAGAGAGAAATAGAAGAAACATCGATGAGAGAGAACATCAATTGGTCGCCTCCTGCATGCCACCCACTGGGGATTATGCCCACAACCTGGGCATGTGCCTTTACTGGGAATTGAACCAGTGACCTATATTATAGGTGCAGGGGTCGACGCTCAACCACTGAGCCACACCTGCTGGGCAAAGTGACTTTTTTAAAAACAAAATCAAGTGACTAAGCTTGTATATAAGGATTTCTGGTACCAAGAATTAACCAATCCGATGCAATCTTATTATGCAATGTGACCAATAAGACGTAATTCTATTATATGACCCATATGTTTGTAGTTCAAGACAGTGCATTCACACCAGATAGCTATTGTTCTGTTGGCTGTTGTCATTTTTTTTTTATCCTCACCCGAGGACATTTTTTCATTTTTTGTTCAAATAGAATGGGAGGGAGAGAGAGGAAGGGAAAGAGAGAAACATTGATGTGAAAGGGACATATCGAGTGGCTGCTACCCACACAACCCAACTGGGGCCGGGGACAAACTGCAACTGAGGTATGTGCCTTTAGCGGGAACGGAACCTGGGCCTTTCTGGTCCGCGGGCCAATGCTCTAACCGCTGAGCCCAACTGGCCAGGGCTGTTGTCATTTTTTTGACAACCAGCGGTTCTCAACCTGTGGGTTGCGACCCCTTTGGGGGTTGAACAACCCTTTCACAGGGGTCACCTAAGACATACAGTAGCAAAATTACAGTTATGAAATAGCAACAAAAATAATTTTATGGTTGGGGGTCACCACCACATGAGGAACTTGTATTAAAGGGTTGGGACATTAGGAAGGTTGAGAACCACTGAAAGGGAAGAGGCCAGTACCCCTGTCTAAATAGTCAAGTACTGCATGTTTTAGAAATTCTTGCAGCACACTGGTTGAAAATTGCTGACCTAAAAAGCCTTAAGTATTTCTCCTCCATGCCCCTGTGCCTATTATCAGGAAGCTACTTCTTTCTCATCTTCCCCTCCACTTGACAACATTGTTGCTTTTCAGCTCATTTTTGCCAAGAAAGTATAGTTCCTATTTAAATAGGTTTGGGTGATCCTGTCTTTCACCCCATGGTTCTACTTTGGTTAACAGCTAATTGTAGTGTGTCTGAGGAACCCCAGACACACTATTCTGAGAGAATGTGTGGCCCTTGAACAAAATGACAAGTTATGAGTTGGAGGAAGCAAGGAACAAACAACAAAACAAAACCCAAAGACGTACCACTGAGTTGGAGTTTTCCCAGTTGAAAGGCTTTAGCAACCCTCTCAGGCCTCATTCAGTTGCTTGACACCCTGTTGGTCTCTTCATTATTTATGAACACCTATCAAATGATAAGAAAAAACATAAAAAAAAAAACAAAAAAAAACACTTCAATGATTTAAAGGAGGCATTATTGCAGAAGTAGAGACTGAGTCCTCTATTCCATTCAGATCAAAATGCAGGAAGCAGCCTTGGCCGGTTTCGCTCAGCGGTTAGAGCGTAGGCTGGCAGACTGAAGGGTCTCGGGTTTGATTTCTGGTCAAGGGCACATACCTCGGTTGCAGGTTCCATCCTTGGCCCCGGTCAAGGTTGCGCAGGAGACAACCAATGGATGTTTCTCTCTCCTCTCTCTCTCTCCCTCCCTCCTTTCCACTCTATCTAACAAATCAATGGAAAAATATTTCTGATGAGGATTGACAAAAAAAAAAAAAAAAAGTGCAGGAAGCAGACAACTGCCTCTGAAGGTTTGAGTTCTTCTAAGTTCTGACCTGGTACCAAAGACTGTGCTAAGCTATAACTTAATTCTCTTAGAGACTTAATATTTTAGGTATTTATACATAGGCTTCCAGGGTGGCTTGGCTGGAGTCAACAGTATAAAAAACAAAGCACCAAATCCTCACTCTGAGAAGACATCATCTCTGTTTTGAGTGAAGATATCCTCTCTAAGATTTGAGTACTGTTAGAAAAGAGGTCTCAACACAGGAAGTATCTTGCCTTTATATATAACCTCAAAACCATCCCCAAGACAGAAGTTCCTCTGTACTCACCTTCTGTCCAGACCACAAGATCCTTTGTGTCAGTCACCCTTAGTAATGCCAAGCTCTCTTTCTTTACAGATGAACTTTAGCATGAATTCCTCTCCTTGCTTAAACAGGCACACTTGGCCACTTTGGTAGAACTTGGTAACAATCCTAATAGGAATATTTGTGATTCTTCAGCCAAGCCACAAAAAATGGCATCAGAAATTGTTTTCACTGGTTACCACAATCGGCAGAGATGGAGACTGAGAAGTTATACCTCGGAAGTATCCGAGTGCCTGGATATGGAATGAATGCCTCAGGAAGCAGTAAGTTCCACATCATATGTGGGAGAGGCAAGCTAGTCTGCCACTTGGCACACATTATGGAGGGGTCATGTGTGAAGAAATAAGGTGGCCTAGAGTACATATAAACTCCCATCTCATCTGAGAGTCAGTGAGTTAAAATAATGCTGAGCTCAGTGCATTGTAAAGACCTCTGGTTGATTTATGGATGGCTTGAGTATCAGATCACAGGCCTGATTGGGATTCTAGGAGTTGGGAGATGACATAAATATTTTAATGAAAATAACCCTGACAAAGTGACCAGAGGATGTTTTAAAGATATCCAATGATTATGCTCTGAAGTGTCCAGGAAGAGATATAAGTTGAAGGAAAAGCGGAATTTCATTAAACCAGTAAAAGACACTAACACATCAAAAAATAAATGTCTCCAGTCCCTCCAGCTCTCCTATATAATAAGGTAATACCTTGCTGTAGTGTATATCATTAGTATGGTTGAACAAAAATCTCTCCATCTTGTTTGACCCTGAATAGTAAATAAATTGCAGTCTCCCTGCAACAACGGAATGTCATTATTTTTTTAAATCTCCAGAAACAAATGTGCTATTTATCTTCTGAAGTCCTCTGTGTACTAAGCCATGCTTACCCACCTGTGGAGTTAACAGAGCCTCCCTGCACATTCTCTGTGTGCTGGTTGTTGCTTCACTTCTGTAGATCTAGCCTTGTGTCCCCTAACACTAACCAGTGGCAGCTCTGTTTAATCAACAACCAGGCCTCCTGCTCTGGGCTAATAATTTCCCAGCAGGCTCAAAATTCCCTGATCATCAAAGGTACCTACTGAGAGATATTTTCCATTGGGCAATTAGTAATTTGTGTGTTGGCAAGAGTACTGAAATAGTTTGGAGATGTGGGTTCTAGTTTGTACTTCATCAGTGACTCCTACGTCCTTGGAAAAGTTATTGAGTTGTTCAGCATGAAAAGACTGAGACTGTGAATAGGCCTTGATTTAAATCTGTTAGGATATGAGATAGTAAAAGCAGGTAGATCCCATTTTCCATGTCTACTTAATTCCTCAACTGGAGCCCAAAGACCTCTCTGATGAAGTAACATTTGCTTTCAGATCAGAATCTATTCTCTAATTCTTACAAGGACAAGAAGTTCAAGTTATTAATTCCACTGCAAAGTCAGGAGGGGCCTGGTAGGGCAGCACCCTTTGAGGCTCACAGGCTAGGTCCTGGGTTGCCCAACTGAGGCCAAAGTCTCCCCACTCCCCACCCAAATACCATCATGCATTCTGATAACCAGGTTACAATGGCTAATAGGTTTCACATTCGTTTATTGGTTCTGGCCAAGAACCATCTATTTTCCTATTTCTCATAAATGAAGTTTCAGAGACGATGTGACTTTCAAGATCTCACAATTAGTATGGTGGGGCTCAAGACCAGAACCCAAACCAACGCTCATTACTCCATGCTTTATTTTCCTTTCCCTAGTCAATCGCTGGCTGAGATGACAATAACGCTCATTTGAAAACAAAAGGGGAAAGAATGTGTCTTTAGAACTGTTGGAGTGTACAATTCCATGGGAGAGCTATACACATTATGACACCCTGAACTTTGTTTATTGTATAGCTTGCATAGCCTTAGCACCCTCAGCAACCCTGTCTCCCTCTATCCACTAAGAACAAGTACCTGAAAATATAGTAGCAATTAAAGTCACTAACTACCCACGTTGCATGCAGAGAACCCTGGTTCTGCAGCTGGCATCACTGCCTGACACGTAGGTGAAGGCTTTTATAACCACTGGGGCTGTGGAGCTAAGCTGACCATTGTGCTAAGTAACTTTTTATTTATGTTCAAATTTCTTTCATAGTCAAGTGGGATAGGCTTTAAACGCTAAGCATAATTCAGGACATCTTTGATGTGTTTAGCCAATGACATTTGTTTTGTGTTGACAAGATATAGGCTAGCAGTACATGTTTTCTAATGCTTTCCTTCCACTGTAGTTTGAAGAGTCCAACTGGAGGAATAAAGCAGAAAGAAATCTTGTTTTGTAAATCCTTGAGTTCCTCCAAATTCAAGGTGGGATGTTGGAAATGCTGGAGGTAGGAGACCTGGGTTCTAGTCTTGGCTCTGCCACATAGTTGTTTGACTCAGGCAAATGAAACATTGATAAATGTTAGTTAATCTCAAAATAGCTCAGTATCAACATTCTGGGAGTTACAAAGCTATACTAAAAAGTTGGAAGTGCTGTTTTTCTGACAGTCTTCTAATCAATACAGCAGGTAATCTCAATTATACTTTAAAAAGTGACAGTTAAGCCCTGGCCGGTTTGGCTCAGCGGTTGGAGCCTCGGCCTGTGGTACAGAGAGACCCGGGTTCGGTTCCCGCTAAGGGCACGTACCTCGGTTGCAGTTTGTCCCCGGCCCTGGTTGGTCGTGCGGGTGGCAGCCACTCGATGTGTCCCTACACATCGACATTTCTCTCTCTCTCTTCCTCTCTCTCCCTCCCGCTCTATCTGAACAAAAAAAAATGGAAAAATGTCCTCGGGTGAGGATAAAAAAAAAAAGTGACAGTTAAAACCATTTTCTGTCCGGCTGGTATGGCTCAGTGGTTGAACACTGACCCATACACCAAGAGGTCGCCAGTTTGATTCCTTGTCAGGGCACATGCCCAGGTTGTGGGTTGGATCCCCAGTGGGGGGCATGCAGGAGGCGGCCAATCGATGTTCTTTCTCATCAATGATTCTCTCTTTCTCTCCCCCTCTCCCTTCCTCCTCTCAAAAATCAATAAAGGGGAAAAACAATTTAAAACAAACATAAAAACCATTTCCTAATTTAAAAAACATATAAACTCCAGTTCATAAAACCCCTCTAAATTAGCCTTCTGACAAAAACGTCACTTTAACAGTGTTTTACACAACAGAACTGGATTAGATACTCTGCCCCATATAGGGCTAAAATGTGATGATTTTCAAATCTAGGAAGATAAACTCAGGTAAAGACATCTTTTGAAGCTTTGCATAAGGTCCAAGAACTGCATACATCTGTGTCCATGTGTAGAAAGAGTTGTAATTATATAGACCACAAATAGGTCTATATAAAACTTAAGTACCTGAATCAAACTGTTGGAACCTAAAGAATCATCTGACACCCACAACACAATAGGCTACTTCACTCTCTAGGCAAACAGAATTTTAGGCAATTAGACTAGAGGATTCGTGTCTATATCAGGAGTTTTACTTTTACCCATATTGTACTCATTTTTACAATCACAACATCCAGCACAGTGCTTGAGATTCAGTAATTATTCAACAGTCACGGAATTGAAATATACTTTATCTTTATGGGGATAAAATTATTTTTAAAAAACTGAGCAGACACTCTGTGTACTAAAATTACTTTATTACAGTTGATTTTTTTAAACATTTCCTTTGCTATGATACAAAGGATACTTACAAACAAAATATTACATATGACCTTGTTTTCGCTCTTATGTTGACAACTTGGTAACAGCTTTAAATGCACAATCTATACAATTAATACAGGTTATATATGAACTATAAGGTATGTTGAACCAGAAGAATACTGACAATATACTGTACAATAAGCCTTACCAGTTAGTGCTGTGGACCATTTCTACCAAAAGGAAAATGCACATCTGTACAGTCACCTTTACCAGCTGGTGCAGACAGTGAGGGAGAGGCTTCTTCCCCATTGCAACCCTTGATAAGCCTCCACTGTGGGTGTCTGTTTGGTCCGAAAATTTAGAGGACTGTGTATTTGAAGTTAGTCATCTGTAAAGTGGCAGAACATCACTTTCAAGATGATAATCTCTCACCAAAAAAATATCAGTCCTAGTTTTAAAGACCACAAGTCCTTCGTCCACTACAAAAACCCTACAGGCTCAAGGGCTTTAGGAGATGAGAAGATGTAGGCTGCCAAAAAAGGAGGCAAGAAACCAAACCAAAATCTAGGTCTTGCAAAATCATCATTTTTCCCTTCACCAAAGGGAACTAGAAATGTACAAATTCATTGATGAACCTCAATGATAACATATCAGTTTGCTGATAACCCTCATTTTATCTGGACCCCTGACTTGTGGGAATAACTGAAAGAGATTGTGAATAATATTTACCACTTTTAGAAAAGAACCTCTTGCTTAGTGAAAATATTCCCTTTAGCCACCAAAGCTGGTCCTGGGCTATTACAGGTGTGCATTCATCTCTCAATGGTCTACTCATAAATGATAAGGTTACAGCTTTTTTTCTTTTCTTTTTTTCTTTTTTAAATAAAAAAGCAACTGAATGAAGCATTTTTCTTTTCTTTTTTTTAAAGGTAAATAGCAAAAAATAAAAATAAAAACCAACCCTGGCATTTGCACAAATAATGCAAATGGAGCGATATGGCCTTTAAGGGGTTAGTAGAAAGGAAGAGAGAAGTGAAGAAAACCCAGAGAAAATGATGTATTAACTTTTCTTCTTAAAAATTTCTACAATACATGTGCAAAAAAATCATGCTGGTTGAGGAAAACAAAGGGTAATGAGTATATAAAATTAAAAACATAAATAATATGTTTGGATGAATGGTAGAAGCAGAAACCAACCTGGGTTACAAAAAGGATTATACATTCAAGATGCTCTTAAACCCAGTGGGATAACTTATGTTAAAACTGTGTTAATAGTTACGTTAAAAATCTCAAGTTTGTTTTTAAATCTTCACAATACAAGCAAAGCTGTTTTAAAATATACACTATACATATTTCTCATAGTCTCTCCAACTTCATTAATGCACATTAGGCTATCTTTTTCACATACTAAAACAAGGGAGTTCTGAAAGCTAAATTGCTCAGAATAACCCATCCATTATTTAAATGTCTTAAGTTTTAAATGGGTTAAAAACTTTAGCAGACTTACATAAATAGGATTTAGCAACACAAGTGTTAATTAAAAAAACTCTAAAGCATTTACAAATTATCAAGTTGGAATAGTCTGGGGAAGTTATGTGCACTATACTTTAAAATGTTATTTACATCAAACCATTGCTTTTGTAAAAATTGCCCTAAAAGATAAAAAACAAAATAAAATAAATTTGGAGAATTAACCTATTCTAACCTTGCAGAGAAGGATAATAAAAAAAGAAAGGTAAAATAAAAACAAAATTATCTTTTAATATAAACCCCACATATCCCTCTCCACTTAGATTTTGCTCTGTGAAACCACCTGCAACTCCTAATAGGCTCATATATCAAGTGTCAAGATAATGTGGCAAAATACTTTGTCAGATAAATTACTGGCCTCAAGCGGATTTTTTTTTTTTTAATTTAAATTTCTCACCTTGTGACTCTGGCTTGGATTATTTTAGAACATGTGTATATAATTAATTGGAGGGGCACTCTAAGTAGGCACAATTCCCATTTAATGTGGAATAAAAGGTATAACACATAAAGTGCTACTGGGGAGAAGGGGTGATATTTTCTGTGATATTATGAAATGCAAGGAAGCACATGTGGAATGGGCACCAAAAAAGAGCTGTCTGGCAACACACCAGGGGCAGCCAACATCTTAAACTAAACATACTTGTCTATGACAAAAAAAAATAAATAAAAAAAAGAGGTTTAGAAGGGTTCCAACACCCCTCCTTTCATTTGTGTGATACGTGCCAAATAGTTATACGGATCAGCCAGAACCCAAAAACATTAAGCAGTTACATCTTTTTTAATCCCACAATTCACTCCATGACCATGTGCAATTTATAGTAACAATAATGTTCATGCTGGGGCAATGTATTTGAGGGCTCAGAAAAAGCGAAATGTGCTACTAAGAGAAACCTGTTTCCACACAACTGGTCTTCATGCTTTCAAGTGGCCCTAATATACCTCTGATGCCAAGCCAAGCCATGCAAAAGCAGAGTACACACTTTTCATTAACATTCGTATCTCATTTCGAAACTCCGACTTCGGAGTTGCCATAGAAACATGAATACTGAAAGCATACAAATGAGGGTTCATGGATTTTAAAAAATGCATTTCCCTTGTCTATGTTCTCCAGACTTGACTACTTTAGGGCTAGGGCTACAAGGCATATCAGAGAAAGGTTAAGTGGGATAATGACAAAGGAACATATGTAATTCTGGAAATAAGAAAAATGCTCCAGAAATGGGATCAATGTGCCAACAATAATAGTTCATTTCATTTTAAAATTCAGCTAAAGAGCCCAATAAACAGTTCCAAGCCATAATGTTACCTGCATAATTTACATAAACATTAAAAACTCTTTCACTTTATAGACAAAAAACACACTTCTGTAAACATGGCCACTGGGGGAGGGAGGCTCCCTACCTCATTCATGATTGAGGACATGTAATCATTATATTAAATAAAATGACTTCACTTCAAAAGATTTTAAACCTGACCAATGATTAAGCTTCATTTCCTCTTGTTTAACAACATTTAAGTATTAATTCTAAAAATGTCACCTAGGATGGTTTCAGGGTTAGATGCTAGAACCACAATCGGCAATGACAGCAACTCCTCTCTAGCTGGCACAGACTTATAAACTTTAGTACAAAAACAAAAAAAATACAGAAACTAGGTCAATTTGTTAGCTACATATTTACAGATAATTACATGATTTTTCACTCACAATTGCTAAAAACTATGAGTGAAAAGGAAACTGTGCAGGTTGAATTACCCGTACTTTGGGGGGAACTTGGGCATCAAGATACCCTTTCAGAAGTCTTGTCTTCTCTCCACTTTTTCACGGCAAACTACCTACAGACAGATATTCAGATTAGTATATCCAGTGGGTATCTTGTTTCAGAGAGGATTAACCTTTTTCTCTATTTAAAGGAGAATCTCTTGTATATTTAAAAACAAAACAGACCCAACACAGACACATTCACATGCACACAAAAATATCTCTGAAACTTCAGTTAGGATTGCTGGGAAACAGTTAACAGTGATGGTGACATAGTAAATGGCTCCCCAGTTTTAATTCTCTGTGTTTATTTTCTTAATGAAAGGATATCTATTTTGGGGTAGGTGGGAAGTGCAAGTTTAAAAAACCCACAACAGGCAGATAAGGTGCATACTAATTTATATATTTCTTATGATCTGAAGGCTACCATTAGGCCAAGTGGGTTCTCTTCCCTTGTTGGAGTGAAATTTTAAAAATTAGTCAATGTGACTTTAAAGGGGGCTCCCAGAATTCAGTAGAAAATAAATATACAATAAAAGAAGAGTTCTCAGCTTCACTTTCTTTTTCTAGACAGTGTTTAATAAAACTTACTTCTTTACAAATTACTAGTAATTTCCAATGTAGTCTACTTTAGTGATTTCATAAAAGTGCAGACAACATAACCAGACACACAGCAAAATAGACTTCAATCAGTAGTCCTTGCATACAAAAGGCAAGTCTGCTAAGTGTACAGCATACTCTTCATTGTTTTAGGAATCTGAGGATGGGAATTTTCCAGTTTTTAACAACCAAGAGTGAGTGTCTTTTCAAAGGCAATGCTACAACATGCTTGGGGCACCAGCTATGTTAGATGAGGGAAAACAAAATAGAGAACCTGTTTCTCTTTAATAATGGTCTGTATTTTGATAAGCAGCTCAAAGATGACAGCCCAAGTCTTGGCTTTGTTCTTTAGAGAAGGCAGTTTTCTATATAAGAAACAAAAACCTCTTCTTCCATCATTATAGGAGATTCATACTTATACACCTTAAATATATTATTTTCTGACTTGAATACACACTAGACACTTCACATTGTGAGCATGGGACAAAAGACCATATAAAACTCCTAGGAAAGGTTTGCTGTGTTGAGCCAAATCTCTGCTTGAATAGTAGTGGCTCAGAAGGGGTGGAAGGTGCACAAAGAGCTTACTATTAGCAAGCAAGAAGAGGCAGCTGAAGGGAGAAAACCCCATGCCAACACTATATCCTTCTCTCCCAGTGGCCATTTCCTGTTGATTTTATAGTTTAGGAGAACCTTAGATGCTTTCTTTAGCAGTAATTCTTTTCTTGGCTGTTTTGGTCCTTAGCAAAATTTATAATTATTGGTATTAATGGAGAAAAAAAGAGTAAGATCAATGACATCACTACTAAGAAATACAAAGAGTGCACATTGTGTGATTTATTGGTTCTTTTATCATCTTTGCAGAGGAATCACCATCAGTGTTTTTAATTTCCACGGTTCACTTCTCTCTGCATCACTTATTTTTATTGCATTATGACACAAACTCATAGAAACACTAACTGGCTCCTTCCCCAGCACTATTTTACTGTATTTGCAACTTATGGTTCCACATTTTACTAACTTTCTTTCCACTCACACAAGTGCTAAGCGGGGATTAAAAAAGAAAAGACTGCAACTAATGACCACCTTCTCATAAATATCACCCCAGAGTACTCATTCTTAAACACATGCATTCTTGCCTTAACTGAGGATTTGAAATAACAAAATAACCTTAAGTGCCCTGATGGAAATGTACAGTATGAGTTACATCCATCTATCTATACACACAGACACTCATATGTATATACATTATATACATACAAATGATAATAGCTATACCAAAAATGTGCATATTTAACAGTTTTAAAAAGCCAGTAGATCATGGTATAATACAATTTATTTCCACTAGTGAATGGCACAAATAGAGAAATGCAAAGGAGGTGTTTCAAGTACAATAAAGTTATTTTTCACAGGTGAAAATAAACAGTATTATTCCAGTGTCCAACACAATGTATTTTATAAAAGTTTAAAATGCCAGACATTTAGTACTTAAAGTAGAAAGTTACTAAAGTCTGCCTTATGGTCTGAAAAAGACACTCATAGAGTTTTTGATTTTTGAAAAGGGGATGAGGAAAATTAGGTGGGAGTGGGAGGGAATGTCAAGGAGTTTCTTTAGTGTACTGAATAGTGTTTACCTGATGTCTGGGCAGCTGAAAATCATGACTATACTAAAAAGTTTAATTTACCAATAAATCCTTGGCTTAAGAGTACCAAGTATATTATACCTGTGGGCGTGGCATCAAATGTAGGACTATTCATCTCTAGGCATAGAAATGACTAAAAAGAAGTGCAGCTCTTAATAAAAATAATATAAACACCTTCCAGCTAACATTACTATATAATGAAGAAACTGTAATTTGGGGTTAGAGCTGACTTTAATAAAGGGAAAAAAAAATCTGTGCAAAAGGAAGGGAACCCAATTAGAAATAATATATTTCAAGGTATGAGGTTTTGCATTTTTTAAATGTTAACTAAAGAAAGGGAGAGACACCCTGGCCGAGTTGCTAAGTGGTTAGAGCGTCCCATGGACCAAAGAGTCAGAGGTTTGATTCTGGTCAAGGGTGCGTACCCCGGTTGCAGTTTGGTCCCCAGGTCCAAAGGTGCGGGAGGCAGCCAGTCGATGCGTCTGTCTCACATCGATGTTTCTCTCTCTCTCTCTCCATCTATCCCTCCCTCCCACTCTATCTGAAGATAAATGGAAAAATATCCTCAGGTGAGGATTTAAAAAAAAAGGGAGAGCCAATGAACACAGGAAACTTTTTACTGCCAAGCTCTGGATACCAGATATAACATTTATAACTTTGATATGCTGGACAAATTTCTCTTAGTTTTTATTTTCTTAAACACATATGTATTAAGTGAACACTAACATTGGGAGGAGGTAGTAATTTGATCAAATATTATCATTTGCACACTGATTCAGAAAGTGCCTGCTTCTTTCTTTAGAATTTCTTAAACTTTTCAAATTTTCCTACTACAAGATTTATTCTTTACTAATTCCTATCATGTATGAGATTCCTCAGAAGTTAGATCTTATAGACAAACACTACCCAATTAATTTGAATCATTTTTGCAAATTATGTATTTTTAAAATAAAATTAACTTAATGGAATAATCCAGGTATACTCATGACCTACATGTTACAAATGGTTGTGACACAGATAAATAAGATACAAAGCCCTAATACTAGATAGACCTTTGGAGTCAGAATTCAGTCACGATTTTACAAGTAAATATGCTCTGCACAAACTCAGTAACTCCTTTGACAAATTTTAAGTCAATTTAACGTCCACAAGTGGACTTGAACATGTATCACTGGCAGTATTTTGGCTTTTAAAGAGATTTTGTGTGCAAAACTGATCTGCTTCCTGATTCCACCCCTCTAGTAATACAGAGGGGCTAATAAGAATTTTTTTTTAAAGGTATCAAATTCCATTATATTTTTGGACATTTTATTAATTCTAAAGCCCTCTTCTATCATTTCCCTCCAAATAGGTAGATTTCAATTTGCTTGAAATAGTATGTAATATTTGAATGCAAAAGAGAGAAAATTAAAAAGCCCCCTTTCATTAGATATGACAAGTACATGTCATGTTCACCTAAAAACTGGTGATCTCAAGCATAGCCAAGAGGATAATGTATCACTGCCTAAAATTGGATATGAATTCTATTGCGATACTGGTTTTTAAAATATTAATTTTTCTTCCAGTAACCTTTAAATGAATGCCAGAAAATCCTAAAAAGGATGATTCATGGGGACTGGACTGACATACCTGGGGAAGACTTAAATTTACTTATATTTATATTTTTATTTTTTATCCTCACCCGAAGACTTAAATTTAACTGAGAAACCAAGATTTCAACAGAGATAGATTACATTTGGTCATCAGTCTAGTCTAGGTGAAAAGTATCATTGAGAGGGTCTTAGAGAATTCTAACTTGGAGACTTCTGACTATGAAAGCAAGATCCAGAGTTAGCAGCAAGGGTTCTTTGAGACAACTAGGGAGGGGGTGGGACAATAACTTGTAGAAATTCTGATATGTCACTGAAAAGAACATTTTTTTTTTCTTCAAGTAATACTCACAGCTCCCTATACACCTTCAACTAAATTTCCATACTGTCAATGGAATACCAAATAACATGTGACTTTCAGCACTGGGTTGATCCTTCATTGCAAAACAAAACAAAACAAAACAATACAAAACAAAACACGCCGCTCTCTGGAAGAAAAGGTTAGCTTTTGTCAAGAGATTCCCTGACTACTATAACTTACTTTACTTTTTTAAAATTTGCCAAACTTGCTAGTTCCTTTTCAGTAGTAATTTAGCACTGAGGCTAGAGACTTCAGGAAGTGGTGTTTCCTATTGCATGATGTTAACATGATGCCAAATGGTCACTAAGTCTCAAGGAACTAGAAGTTTGTAAAGTATTGCAGCAACAAAAACAGTAATTAAAAAAAGAGGACCTGCACATGCAGCAAAATCTACAGTGGTAGTGAGGATTAGTCAGCAGCTGGTAAAGTCATTGGCTCAGTGACTCCTGGTTCACTATGGCAACTAAACTTTAAATAATTGGCTATTCTACTTGTAAACAGGAAATCCCATAAGCCAAAAGGGGGTAATCAAATTAATGTCTATGTAGTGTGATGAGAATTCCAAAAGATGGCAGTTTGCAAATATGGCATTATTCAAATACCTCAGGCATTTGATATGTATTGGCTATATGTCTTTGTTTTTGTATAAATAAAGTGAAAGTACTGTTTGGGGTTTGGGGAGTTATAGAGCTTAGCTAGGATGAAATATCACAGTATAAGAAAAAAACATCAGGATATAAAAGCTTCATCTCCTCACTCTGCTGCTAAATATCCCACCATATCAACTTTCAGGGACCTCTCTCACCCTTCTGAAGGCTCACAGGTTTGTAGATGCAATTCTCACACAACTTGTGATCTCCTTAAGCACCTCCATCTCACCATGCCACAAACAAGGCACAATTGAATGGAAAAAAAAAAAAATCACTGACAAGCCTATGCAGCATTCAGAAAAAGAACTCAGTTGTTTTCTACTCTCTGAAAAAGTCAATGCAATCCTCTAGTGTTCATGGCTTTCCATCTTTTTACTCCAAATGAGGCTGAGAAGTCAGACCAATTTAATAAAGAAAATACATTGTTGAGGGGATACAAGTATGTTTGCATAATAACTTGTTTTTAGCATATGCTGCCTGCTGTGAGTGGCTCATAAGAATTTGCGGTAGGGAGAAAGGCTTTCGATTTTTTCACAAACTTCTTAGGATATAGTTGCCCAAAACTGATGACTCAAGCCACTTTACTGTATTTTATTTTTGCAGTGTTTAGAAATACCCTCTATCTAGCCAATTTCTTTTTACCACATGCATGATGTGTGTGCACACACATACATATTAATTCCCCTTTTCAAAATTTCTCCAAAAGTAAAAAAAAACAAAAACCCGGCAGCCAAATACTATGACATCCCAATTAGTAAACACAAAACAGAACGCTTTACAAAAATGAATAAAATATACCATATGCACTCAGCTTCCACACTGTAGTACCCAAGTGAGGAGGCTGCTATGACGATGTCTGTAGGCAGTTTCTTTTGGCAGACAGCTCCAGCGGAATTGCCACTTTCAATTATTAAGTTATGTATAAGACATGTGTGACCCATTGGATATTTGTGAAGTGACACTCGTGCTTCTGCTCATGCCCTGCTCTGTCCGTCCCCCAGAAGCTGTCCGCCTCAGAGCCTGAGGGCTATTGCGGACTCCCATACTGCTACCTCGGGGTACCCCTTGCATTGGCCCTGAGGGGTGACCCCATGGCTGCGGTCCACCTTGCATTGGATGGCCCCAAGCTTGTGGTGGGCCACCCATGGGATGACCCCAGTGAGGTCCTGGACCCCCAGTAGGGTTGTGAGACCAACCAGAAGCTCCTGGGTAGCTGTGGCTGAATGCCTCAGGGGAGAGATTAGAAAGGACCATGTTACTAAAACCTAGTCTCATACTTTCAGAGTCAAAAGCTTCAATTTCTCTGGCTTGACGCTCCAGCAGACTTCGTATTCGTTCTGTGCGTTCATTCTGCAAAGCCAACATCTCTTCTTCAATCTGTTGTGGGTAGAAGAAAGGAAGCAAAAAGAAAGCTGATTTATTTTTTAAAAAATCTAAAAACTAAGGGAAGAATAATTACTCAGCCTTGAAGTGAATCATAAAGAAATTCACTCTGGCTATTTTATGGATGTACATTTAAAAATCAAAGAGACGTACTGTAGGAATCATACATAATTTATATTTTTAAAGTGTGTACAATCTAGTTCTTAAAGGCAAAGGTAATAACCACTATTAAAATAATAAATCAAGGCAATTTTGATCAATGGCTACTAAATCCATTAGGTAAAAAGTTAAATGAAAAAGAAAATGGGCAAGGGAAAACCAGTCTTATCAGATATACTATATGCCATTTAATAAGACAAACATGGGGTTGGTACAGGAATAGAAAATTAGTGAAACAGAAATAGAATGCAGCCCAGCTGGTGTGGCTCAGTGGTTGAGAATAAACCCATGCACCAAAAGGTCGCCAGTTTGATTCCCAGTCAGGGCACATGCCCAGGTTGTGGTCCCGATCCCCAGTGAGGGGCATGAAGGAGGCAGCCAATCTATGTTCTCTCTCATCGATGTTTCTATCTCTCTCCCTTTCCCTTCCTCTCTAAAATCAATAAAGAAAAAATATTTTAAAAAAAGAATGCAGATCTGTTTGTAGGTTTCTTTTTTTAAATCCTCACCTAAGGACATTTTTCCATTTTTTGTTCAGAGAGAGTGGGAGTACCCACATAACCCAACCAGGGCCGGGGACAAACTGCAACCAGGTATGCGCCCTTAGCGGGAACCAAACCCGGGTCTCTATGGACCGCAGGCTGACGCTCTAACCACTGAGAAACCAGCCAGAGCTGATTTTAAATACTCCAGACATGCCCTGGCCGGTTTGGCTCAGCAGTTAGAGCATCGGCCCTTGGACTGAAGGGTTGTGGGTTCTATTCCCAATCAAGGGGCACCTACTTGGGTTGCAGATTCAATCCCTGGCCCCAGTCAGGGTCGTGAGGGAGACAACCAATTGATATGTCTCTCTCACATTGATGTTTCTCTTTCTCTCCCTCTCTCTCCCTTCCACTCTATTGAAAGAAATCAATAAAAAAATATCCTCAGGTGAGAATTAACAATAAATGAACAACCCAGACACTATCCCCTAATTCCTGCTCCCCCCACTCGAAACAAAACTGTGTCTGTGGAACGGGAATAGATAAGAATTAGTATTGAGAACTGCTAAAGCTGGGTGATGAGTACTTGGAAATTAAATTTACTAATTCTTTCTACTTTTGTGTGTTTGAAAATTTCCATAATAAAACATTTTACAAAGAGAAATAAAGAGAATTTGTAAAGGAATATTAAACAATCAGGTTTCAAGATATTTAATTTTTTTCTTTATTGCTTTTTTTTTTCTTTTAGGGAGAGAGAGGAAAGGAGAGGGAGAGAGAGAGAGAAACATCGATGAGAGAGAACATCGACTGGCCACCTCCTGCACGCCCCCAACTGGGGATTGGGCCCACAACCTGGGCATGTGCCCTGACCAGAAATTGAACCAGGGACCTCTTGGTGCATGGGTTGATGCTCAACCACTGAGACACACAGTCATGTTTCAAGATATTTAAGAACATAAGCCAAAAGTCATTGCTCTCTACAGAAATATAGCTTGACAAATATGTTTGGTTTTTATGTACCAAGTTAATTTTTTTTGTTTTTGTTATTGTTGTTAATCTTCACCCAAGGATAGTTTCTTCCACTGATTATTTTGTTTTTTTAGGGAAATTGGAAGGGAGAGAGAAAATGGGAGAAGAACAGAGGGAGACAAGAGACACACTGGTTGCCTCCCAAACATGTCTCAATGGGGCCGGAGATCGAACCTGCAACACAGGTATGTACCCTTGACCAGGAATGAAACCCTTCGGTCAGCAGGCCGATGCTCCAACCTCTGAGAAACACTGGTCAGAGCTATGTACTAAGGTTTTAAAAGTGCCCTTTAAAAAACTGTTTAGAGCCCTGGCCGGTTTGGCTCAATGGTTAGAGCTTTGACCTGTGGTCCAAAGAGACCCAGGGTTCAGTTCCCACTAAGGGCACGTACCTTGGTTGCAGTTTGTCCCCGGCCCTGGTTGGGTCGTGTGGGTGGCAGCCACTTAATGTGTTCCCTTCACATTGATGTTTCTCTCTCTCACTCTTCCTCGCTCTCCTTCCCACTCTATCTGAACAAAAAATGGAAAAAATGTCCTCGGGTGAAGATTAAAAAAAAAACAACAGTTTAGAGCCAGGCCAGTGTGGTTCAGTGGTTGAGCATCGACCTATGTACCAAGAGGTTGCCGGTTCGATTCCTGGTCAGGGCATATGCCCAGGTTGTGGACCAAACCCCCAGAGGGGGGCATGCAGGAAGCGGCCAATCGATGTTCTCTCTCACTGATGTTTCTATCTCTCTCCCTCTCCCTTCCTCTCTCTCTAAAATCAATTAAAAAAAAAAAGTTTAGAATTGACACGGACACTAGGCTGGGTAGGTAGGAGGGAGGTGGGAGCAGGAAGGAGGGGGTCAATGGGGAAAAAAGGGAGACATCCATAATACTTTCAACAATAAACAGTTTAGCGTGGGAAATACATGCAGATAAAAATCTGCAATAGAATGTGGTAAGATTTATAAGGTATAGCAGAGATTCAAAGAGATGGAGTGATTTACTCTATTTTTTAATTTTATTTATTTTTTCTTTTTTTAATCCTCACCTGAGGATATTTTTAAAAAATTAATCTTCAGATAGAGCTGGAGGGAGAGAGGGAGGAAGAGAGAGAGAAAAACAATGATGTGAGAGAGACACATTGATTGGTTGCCACCCACACAACCCCAACTGGGGTCGGGGATGAACTGCAAGCAAGGTACGTGCCTTTGGCCAGAATCGAACCCAGGACTCTGGTCTGCAGGCGACGCTCTTACCGCCGAGCCATACTAGCCAGGGCATTTTTATTTTTTCTTTATTAATTTTTTGGAGAGAGAGGAAAGGATAGGGAGAAAGAGATAGAAACATTGACGCGAGAGAACATCAATAGGCCATCTCCTGCATGCTCTCCACTGGGGATTTGGCCAACAACCTAGGCAGGTGCCCTGACTGGGAATCGAACTGGTGACCTCTTGGTGCATGAGTTGATGCTTAACCACTGAGCCACACAGGCCGGGCGAGGAGTGATTCACTCTATAGGGAATGGAGAATAGGGCAAAGAAATCTCAGAGGAGGTGATACAGACTGGATTCAGAAGGAAGAGTACAAGTTTACCAGGAAGACAAGAAGAGGGAAAGATATTTTCATCAGAGGGAACATGTAAAGACATGGAAAGATGATAAGATAAGCCCTGGCCGGTTTGGCTCAGTGGTTAGAGCGTCGGCCTGGGGTCCAGAAAGACCCGGGTTCGGTTCCCGCTAAGGGCACGTTTCTCGGTTGCAGTTTGTCCCCGGCCCTGGTTGGGTCGTGTGGGTGGCAACCACTCAATGTGTACCTTTCATGTCGATGTTTCTCTCTCTCCCTCTTCCTCTCTCTCCCTCCCACTCTATCTGAACAAAAAAATGAAAAAAAAATGTCCTCAGGTGAGGATAAAAAAAAAAAGATGATAAAATAAGAGTTTGGGAAATTACAATTAGGATGGAATGGACTACATAAATGGAATAAAAGTTTGAAAATTATTCAAAGTTCTAAGTACTAAAGTTTTACAAAGGTTTAGAGAGGGCATTCATATGAAGGTTGAAGAATAACTTGGATTAGACATGAAGGCTTCTTCTGAAGAAAAGACATCAAATCATTAACTGATTTCTGAGTGGTAGAATTAAAGACATTTTAATTTCTATTTATGTTTCTCTGTATTTACCAAATTTTAAAAAACGGTTGCTTTTTTATAAAATATTTTTTCCACTCTTTTAATATCTACATATAAAATGACTAATTTATGCCCGGCAGGTGTGGCTCAGTGGTTGAGCACTGACCCATGCGCCAAGAGGTCCTTGGCTCGATTCCCAGTCAGGGCACATGCCCAGGTTGTAGGCCAAACCCCAAGTGGAGGGCATGCAGAGGCAGCCAATTGATGTTCTCTCTCATAGATGTTTCTATCTCTCTCTCCCTCTCCCTTCCTCTCTCTCTAAAATCAATAAAGAGCCCTGGTTGGTTTGGCTCAGTGGTTAGAGTGTCGGCCCGTGTACCAGAGCGTCCCAAATTGGTTCCCACTAAGGGCACGTCCTCAGTTGCAGTTTGTGCCTGGTCCCAGTTGGGATCGTGTGGGTAGCAGCCAGTCAATGTGTCTCTCTCACATGGATGTTTTTCTCTCACTTCCTCTCTCTCTCTCTCTCCCTCTCGTTCTATGCAGAAATGTCCTCAGGTGAGGATAAAAATTAAATAAATAAATAAAATCAATAAAGGAAAAAAATAACCAATTCATATAGAATTAGATTTACATATCTCTAAGGATTCAAAGAACTTCAACACTTGTCTTTTAAATAGTTTATATAAAATACTTTCAAAATTCATTCACTGAAATCATTTATTTTCATTTGAGGGATCTAATAAATAAGAATGTACTGAGCATGCATGTAACTGACCTTAATGCTTTGCATACTGTTTGAAGAAAACTCATAATAAAAATATTAAACACATTAATGCTTATTGACCTTTTATCCAGTATGCACTTTTTCAATTGTGTTTACTGATTAGTTTTGTCATTTAAGAAACTCAGAACAGTTTTCAATTAAAAATAAAAACATTTGTCACAGCTTACCATTAATCCCCATTCCTTTCAAAATGTTATTACAAATTAGAAAGGTGGTTTCACAAGATAGATGAATTACTGTAATTAAGACTTTTGAGAGGCTCTTCTAATCTATCTTTTTGAAAGTAAATATATTTTTGTGTGAATATTTTTAGTTCCACAAAGAAAGGTCCTATAACATGTTCCAATGGTCAATTCTTATTTTAAAACTACCAACCATGTTGTTGATACTAAATGAAATACTGAGAAAAAATGAAATGAAATGATAAAGTAAAAAGTGTCTATTTATACTCTGGAAATACTGTCACCTTTTATATTATGTATAACATTCACGTGGGCCCTGGCAACGTGGCTCAGTTGGTAGGAGTGTTGTCCCCATGCACCAAAAGGTTGCAGGTTCATTTCCTGGTCAGGTTATGTACAGGAGGCAACTGATCGATGTTTCTCTTTCACATCGATGTTTCTCTCTCCCTTCCTCTCTCTAAAATCAATAAATGTATCCTTGGTGTGAGGATTAAATTTTTTTAAAATTCACATGGAATGTCACTTTATACATTATCTTGCTGAAATTTTAATGGAAATCACGTACGAGAATGGTTGTAATAAGTCATGTAAGTCAAATGAGGCTTACTTTGTTGGTGTTTTAACCTAAAGAAACAATTCTTGGATCATTTAGAGGCTTACAGCAATTTTCAAACAGCATTATTTTTATCTAGAAACAATTAGCATTCACTCTAGTTCCACCTCTATTTTCAAATAACTGTACAACCAGTAAGCACAAAGTACAGAAAATATATAGCTATTATGATTTTTCAAAGTTTTTGTAGTTGGTAGTGTCGTCACGTGCGCCAAAAGGATGTGGGTTCAGTTCCCGGTCAGGGCATATACCAAGGTTTGCTTTGGTAGTTGCCAATTGACCTCAAAGTGCTTCATAGTCATGCATTCCACTTGAAATGTAAAACATCAGCTCTAAAAATCAAGTAGCAGCCCTGGCCGGTTTGGCTCAGCGGTTAGAGCGTCGGCCTGCGGTCCGGAGAGATCAGGGTTCGGTTCCCGCTAAGGGCACGTACTTCGGTTGCAGTTTGTCCCCGGCCCTGGTTGGTCGTGCGGGTGGCAGCCACTCGATGTGTCCCTTCACGTCGATGTTTCTCTCTCTCTCCCCCTTCCTCTCTCTCCCTCCCACTCTATCTGTACAAAAAAAAAAATGGAAAAATGTCCTCGGGTGAGGATAAAAAAATTAAAAAATAAAATAAAATAAAATAAAAATCAAGTAGCAACTCAAAGCACTATGGATTCGTAATCTTATTGTTCTTTTATTATTTTTAATACTGATCTTTTGCATTTTCCATTATTAAAGTAATATTAATCACCACATAAAAAAATAGTAAAATAGAAATACAAGCCAATCTACCATACTAATATAGCCACCACTAGCATCACTTCAATTCACTTTAAGTATTGTCTTTTTTATTTTATTCAGTATATCATAATGTGCTATCATATTAAATACATTCATATCAGTACTATCTCTGTAGCCATCATTTAAAAGGCTAAATAAGATTTTATTAAGTAAATTGGCCAGAACCACTTAATTATACCTTTTATTTATTTATAGAGAATTTTATAAGCATTAGAGCCTAAACTGACAACATATGCCAGGGCGCAAGATCTCAAATGTTCCTTATATCTCTATTTTAGATGATTATGCTATAATCACCATAGTTAAGCATATTTTTTCCCCTATATTTTGGATTTCTTTTCCTTGGAGTTCTCAAAGTCTTAATTAAGTACTTAACATTTCCAAAGCTCACTACATACTTCCAAATTGCTTTTCTAAATGCATTAACAATGCATGAGAGTGCCATATCACATTTACCAATGGGTATCAGTTTTATATTCTGCTTTTACTAGGTTTTGTAGAACACACAGGCTTTGGTTCATATATTGAAATGATTAATTAGCACTATTTACCTTTAAACCACTAGGTGGAGCTAAAAATACAAATATACTTTAATAGTACCAATATTTCTCACACTATTCCTAATACTACAAGGAGTTTTCCTTTTAGTGATAATTTTGAAGCATAAGAGACAGAACTTTGGATTGAATTTTAAATATGAAAGTTGGAATTACATTTATAAAATCTGTATATGAAACAAATTAGATTTTTCTCAAAATTTGTTTCTATCTTTCCATCTTGAATGAAAAACATAATTGAGGTGATTTTTAGAGGCAAGTACATCTCAAGAAGCCAGTGATAAAGACAGCTGTGCCAGAGAAATAGTAATAACTTATTTACGTGAGTTTTTCAAGGTATTCTATTTTTATCATAAGAACTGCAGGAAACAGAAGAAAATCTATGAGCCAATGGTCCAGAAATAATGACAACTTTTAATAGGCAAGACCATTAGGCAAGTATTAACTTAATTGAGTTAAGACTGTATCAGCTATTGGAAACTTATGGCTCAGGAATTCTGGAACATAGTTCTGAACCATGGATAAAACTAATATTCTACCACTTCTCAACAACAAATACCATTTCTCTTTTTATTACTCAAAATCTTCTGCCCATCACCCTTCCCTATCACACCACACACACACACACACACACTTACATACCTTAAGCTGTGATTCTAGTTCTATTCTGTAATATATCTAACAAAGGATAAGTAAAAAAATTAATAAAGGTACATCTGGAAGTAACGTTTTCAGCCTGACTTTTCACCTGTGTGGAACTGGTTTTACTTTCTGTCCTCTAGTAATCTTCCACCAATCTGTATATTTTCAGGCCCAGGACGTATGAGTCAAATATATATTCCTGATCCTTTGTCCCTGCCTCGCCTGGGTAATTGCTAAAGTTCTTTTTCTTCAGTATCCAAGTTTTTCTTTAATCTCCTTAGGCAGAATAGAGCTAGGTACATAAAAGTGAGAAATATGGAACCAGAGCTACTCCTTCATAATTCAATTGTCTTCACATAATCCATATCTTTCTTCTAGAAATTACTACTAATTACAGTCCCTTGATGTTTAGAAATCATTAATTACAATGTTCATTACTGAGTCATTTTAAAGAAAAACACTGCCAAAATTAGAATTAAGAAAATATGGCACTGTGAAAACAATCTAATGCCACCTCTGTCCATATGAAAATATATTTAAAAAATTCTTCTGAAGAAAGCAAATACTAGCACAATTACCTTCCTTCTACTACTTATACCTTTTGTTCTAAGAGTGCCCTGCGGAGGGAGACCCTCTGTTCAAGCTCCCGCAGCTCTCGATCATGTTGTGCCTCAGCTTGCATCTTAATTTTGCTCTGATATGCATTCAACAGCTCCAGTTCCTGCTGCAGCTGCATCTTCAAAACCTGGCACTCTGCTTCCTGTGCTTCATCCAAACGCAGCTGAAAGAGAGAAAAGAAACAGATATATCCTACTGTGAGCTATCTATTCATGACCTATGGAAAGAAGGTGTCAGAAGACAGACTACTCTTTTGTAGGATATGTAATTGTTCTCTCTTCTATCTTAGAGTAAACATCTAATCTAGACTCTGATTAGGTGATATAAGACTCTGAATCTCTTCTCTCAAATGGAAACTATAGAACAGGGACCAGACAACTACAGCCTATGGGCCAAACTGTATGTGTGTGTGCATGTGTGTTCAAATAGCCCACTAGTGCCCAGCCAGTGTGGCTCAGAGTTTGAGTGTCGACCCATGGACCAAGAGGTCACAAGGTGCGATTCCCAGTCAAGGTACATGCCCAGGTTGTGGGCTCCAACCTCAGTAGGGGTTGTATGAAAGGCAGCTGATCAGTGTTTTTCTCTCACATCGGTTTCTATCTCCCTTCCTCTCTCTCTAAAAATCAATTTAAAAACATATTAAAAAAATAGCCCCGGCCAGTTTGGCTCAGTGGTTGGAGCATTGGCCGGTGGTCCAGAGAAACCCGGGTTTGGTTCCCGCTAAGGGCATGTACCTCGGTTGCAGTTTGTTCCCGGCCCTGGTTGAGTCTTGCGGGTGGCAACCACTCGATGTGTCCCTTTCACGTCGATGTTTCTCTCTCCCCCTCCCACTCTATGTGAACAAAAAACGGAAAAATGTCCTCGGGTGAGGATAAGAAAAACAAACAAACAAAAACAAAAAACATATTAAAAAATAAATAAAAACATTTAAAATAAATAAATAACTAGCCCTCTAGTTACAAATGGTCTTTACATTTGAAATGATTACATTTTAAATGGCTAGATAAGTACCCAACATAATTCCTCAATTTTGCCTACTGGCCCACAAATCCTAAAATATCTACTATTTGTCCTCTTAAGAAAACTTTACAAAATTTATATAGAAAATATTTTATATTAGCACTCAAATGTGATTTTTGAATTTCCAATGTAGTACTACTTTTTGCTTACTGCTTAGCAGAGCTGTTGCTATAATCTTTATTTAAAATTAAAAAAATTTTTTTTATTGATTTGAGGGAAAGAGAAAGAAACATTGATGTATCACTTGCCTCCTGCATGCACGTCAACCAGGGATCAAACCTGCAACCCAGGTATGTACCCTGACTGGGAATTTAACCTGCCACCTTTTGGTGTATGGTACGCTCCTAATGAGCCACCGGCCAGGGCACTGCTGCTCTAATCTTGATAAGCTTTTGAAATATGCACTAAAGACCTGAGAGGTACCAGCAAAGAGCCTTTTTAGAACTTTGTGTCTAAACAGACCTATGAGAATTATACATCATGTTTGCTTCCAAGCAGTGCTGAGAGCCAGAAAAATAGGGACCACCACCACTATTTCCCAAGGAGCGCTATCACTTCCAACTAGTATTTTAATTGCTGGGGCTTTAATCAGATGGTAGAAGGATGGGGGCATTAAATTGTTCTGCCTAAATAAAACAAACTCACGGCTTGTGTGGACAGCATTTCATTAATGCTGTGGTCATACTGCTCAGCCAAGATGGCTAACTTCCGGGTTTGTTCCTCCTTGAGCCGTTTCAGAACAGCTTTGTGCTCACTCTTTGGTGTAGTCTCCAGTAGGTGATTTCTTAATGCTTTGTACTGTCTGGTTTGGATTTTGCAGGTGTCCTGAAACTGCTTTTTTATTTGGAGTTCTTTAGACTGGGAAAGAAAAATAGATGTATATAATTTTTAACATATGGCATTTAGCAATATGGTATGCTTACATGAAAACAAAGGCTACTAGGAAAAAGGCAGAGGAAAAACAAAAAGATGAGATCGTAGGGTTGCAGGTACTTTTGCACTTGACTCCTGGGTCAAATCCCTGAATTCTATACATTTTTATAACAAAACTTTCATTTAAATAATCTGAATACCAGCAAACTCATTTATCACAGGACTTCAAGCAATACTCATACTAAGTTTAGTTACTCGAGTAAGTACTAAAATTAGTTTTGATTACTGTATATATTGATGACAGAAAATTAAATTTATTCTCATGCAATAAGTGTAGTAAAAGCACAGACAATATTTTATCAGATCTCTCAGGTAGAAAATAAACATACTGACTCTGTTCCTTATCTGAGACAATTTGCTCCAATTTCTTTTAATGACAATCTCAACTCCAACTACATAGTCTATGACAGACCCCATTAAAAAAGGGTATTAGCAACTAATATTGTTATTACAATTGGCCTTTTCCTTCAGAAAACAAACTAGGTTGAAACATAACTTAGTTTACTCTTTAACAACACCACAACAGGCAACAGGAAGGGTTCTTAAACATCAAACAACTATCCTAGAGAAATGCAGTCATGTCAGATTTATGGTATAACCATAAAAACTAATAAGCTTTCAGTTTGGTTTACTTCTGGGTGCTAACTTTATTATTTTTGAAAATTTTTATTGTTTCTTTTTTCCCCAATTCTAAGCTCAGATCAAGTGTAGAAACCCTCATAATTACAAAGGTCAGTAATTAAACCTTTTTATCATTGCTCAGAATTGATCAGCTTTTCACACACGTTCCCTACCCCCCCCCCCAAATCTCATTCACCCATCTGCAAGACCTCAGTTATCCACTGTCACCTTTATAAACACACACACACACACACACACACACACACATTGTTTTAAATTATTTTATACTTTTGCTTCTCAGAACTATAGAGATCATACATCAGGTAGACTGGAAGGTCTTCTGAAGCTCAGATTTGGCTATTTTCATCACTGAGCCACTTCAGTAGGAGCAGATCTCAGAGAATGGGTGCTGCTGACTTTAAAACCATAATTAGCCCTGTCCGGTTTGGCTCAGCGGTTAGAGCGTTGGCCTGCGGTCCGGAGGGACCTGGGTTCGGTTCCCACTAAGGGCATGTACCTCGGTTGTGGTATGTCCCCTGGTTGGGTCGTGTGGGTGGCGGTCACTTGATGTGTCCCTTTCACATCGATGTTTCTCTCTCTCTCTCTCTCCCTCCCACTCTATCTGAACAAAAAAAAAGTGGAAAAATGTCCTCGGGTGAGGACAATAAAAAAAAAAAAAAAAAACCATAATTAATTTCACAGACACATTGTTTTAAAAGTCTTTTGTAGGAAATTATTCTCTTGCCAAAAGAATAGATATATTCCCACTAAAAAGACAAAATAAATCTGAAAAATCATTATGAATTCCAATTTTTCTTTTGTTTTCTTTATTGATTTTAGAAAGAGAGGAAGGGAGAGGAAGAGAGGAGACAGAAATATCGATGAAAGAGAACATCAATTGGCCATCCCTTGCATGCCCCCCACCGGGGATTGGCCCACATTCTGGGCATGTGCCCTGACCAGGAATCAAACCAGCAACCTCTTGGTGCATGGGTCGACGCTCAACCAGTGAGCCACACTGACTGAGTGTGAATTCCAATCTTTCTAAGCAATAATTAAAGAAGGTTATGTGGATAGTAAACATAAGCTACATTGTAAATTATGTTAATAAACTGTTTTGAAGACACAGCTAAGTGTAATTTTACTCAGGTTCACAGGAAAGGGTGAAACAGTTTTGCTTCTATATTTTGTTCAAGACACCTTGTTTGAAAGGAATTGGGTGGGAACTAGGGATACCACTGGGTGTGTTGTATGTAGCTTCAAGATTTTAACAGATGACCTCTGTGAATGAATTTCACTTAATTCCAGGACAGTTATTCAGTTAAGACCAAGAACAGTTTAATAAGTTTAATTATCAAATAGTTTTAAAAAGAGAAAAGGGTTTAAAAAGAAAATAATGTGGGACCTGAGCCTTACTGGATGTAAATAAAAGTTTAAAGTGTGCAGACATGAAGAGATTAACTGAGGTACTAATATGGATGAGATAACTATATAGTATGTGGTTTTAATTTAAGATTCATGTGACTATACTTTTTCAAATATTTATTAGAAGTTATAAAACTTAAAAATTTCTTGGAATTGTTAACTCTGGTTCACTTTGGTGAAGAGGTTTGGACTAGGAGGCTGGAGGGACAAAGGTGAGAGAGGGAAATCTTTAATTTTATAGCACACTTTCGTATCTTTCAGATTTCATAACATGTGAGTGAATTCCTCTATTCAAAGTAAACAGAAAAATTAAAGTTCTGTTATGATTCCACTATTCCTCTTCAGATGAGTGTAGATAATGAAGGGAGAGGACTTAAAAAGGCATTTTTTCATTCACTGGCTGATTAGGAACTGTCTTTTTTGGATACAAATCACATTTAGAACAAATAAGACTTATCAGTTGGAACAGAGAAAAGCCAAGAGGTTAGCATGTTGACATGTAATATCAGCATTGAACATTTAGGTACATTTAAAATAAAAATTTTGATTCTTACTGATGGCATTTCCCACAGTTAAAAAGTTTAGGCTATTTTTTGGTACTTGGTGAACAATACATAAGCAAACGTCTATAGCTACAGGCACTCCACATTAAAACTAACTAAACATACTTAAAATGAAAAGAAAAAAGTTTACTCAATTTCTTTATGAAAGACATCTGTCTTAGACTTTTACTGTTTACGTGGATGCCTTTTATCTCTTTACCCTGTCAAGAAGCTTAGACTAAAGTTACCTTCAGGCTCTTAGGTTGCTGTCGAACCTCCATGACATGCTTTCGCCTTAGTTCTCTTTCTCTTCGCTTATTATATTCCAGCTGGTTAGTGAGTTCCGTTTGATGCTGCAACCTGATCAACTCACAGCGCATCTTCTGAATTGTGTTGAGGTGGCGGAACTCCAGTTCTTGCATGGACTCATGCTGTCGCAGTAGCATGGCATGCTCTAAGTCCTTTTGGGTCTGTCTTTTATTTAACTCCTAATCCATAAAACAAAAGACAAAAGGTATAATTTACTGCTATGAAATGCCAGAAAAAAAAAATCCTAAGAAACTGAATAACCAGGGAAGAAATGTAGAAATCTGATTCAATAATGGCTGCATAGTAAATTTTAGCTTCATGACTTTTACTGTAGTAAATGGGCAATTAGTAGCACATATTTCTTTATCATATTCATTTATTATTCATTAACACTATTTTTTGCTATAAGCTTAAGACAAATCTATCTGAAGAAGCTTAACGTACTTTTTTTTTAAAATCCTCACCCAAGGATATTTTTACAATTATCTTCTAACAGAGTGGGAGGGAGGGAGGGAGAGAGAGAGAGAGAAACATCGATGTGAGAGAGAGAAATCAACTGGTTGCTACCCACATGACCACAACTGGGGCCAGGGACTAACTTCAACTGAGGTACGTGCCCTTGGCCGGAATCAAACCCGGGACTCCTTGGTCCGCAGGCCGACGCTCTAACCGCTGAGCCAAACCAGCCGGGGCCTTAATGTACTTCTTTTCCTTCTTTTATTTATTGCTTCTTAATTTTATATTTAAAGAGGGCTCCTAAGTCATCCTTTGAATATCTTCAGAGTATACTCTTCAATTCTATTATATGTAGTTTACCCAGTATAGTGTAGTGGTTAAGAACAAGGACTCAAGAGCTAGGTAGCCTGCCTGTATTCTAAATTCTGGGTCTGCTACTCATGAGCAGTAAGTCCTTCGGTTCATTATTTAGACTCTCTGTGCTTCAGTTTCATCACTTCTCAAAATAGAGATAATAATATAGCTGTTTCACAGATTTAATGTGAGGCTGAAATGAGTTCACAAGTGGAAAGTTCTCAGAATAATACCTATCATGATGCTCAATAAATGTTGTTATTCTTTTTTTCAAATGAAAAAGAACAAGTATAATAATTAATAGAACAGCCCTGGCCGGTTTGGCTCAGCGGTTAGAGCTTCGACCTGCGGTCCAGAGAGACCCAGGTTAGGTTCCTGTTAACGGCACGTACTTCGGTTGCAGTTTGTCCCCGGGCCTGGCTGGGCCGTGCAGGTGGCAACCACTCGATGCATTCCCTTCACATCGATGTTTCTTTCTCTCTCTCTCTTCCTCACTTTCCCTCCCACTCTATCTGAACAAAAAGTGGAAAGAATGTCCTCGGGTGAGGATAAAAAAAAATTAATAGAACAAAGAGCTGGTTCTTTGAAAAGACTGATAAGATTGAAAAAAACCCTAGCTAGACTAAGGGGAAAAAAAACAACAAGAAAAAACCCATATAAACAAATCAGAAATGAAAAGAGAATTTATTATAGACATCACAGATAATCAATAAACTAGAAGAAATGGATAACTTCCTAGAAATATATAACCCTCCTAGATTAAACCAGGAAGAACTGTAAAATCTAAACAGACCAATCAGCAGTGAGAAAATTTAAACAACCATTAAAAACCTCCCCAAAGCCCTGGCCAGTTTGGCTCAGCGGTTGGAGCATCAGCCTGCGGACCAGAGAGTCCCAGCTTCAGTTCCCGCTAGGGGCACATACATAAAAAAAAAAAAAAAAATCACTCTTTGCCCTGGCCGGTTTGGCTCAGCGGTTAGAGCGTCGGCCTGCGGTCCGGAGAGACCCGGGTTCGGTTCCCGCTAAGGGCATGTACCTCAGTTGCAGTCTGTCCCCGGCCCTGGTCGGTCGTGTGGGTGGCAGCCACTCGATGTGTTCCTTTCATATCGATGTTTCTCTCTCTCTCTCTGTTCCTCTCTCCCTCCCACTCTACCTGAACAAAAAATAGAAAAATGTCCTCAGGTGAGGATAAAAAAACAAAAAAAACTAAAAACCTCCCCAAAAATAAAAGTGCAGGACCAGATGGCTTCACCAGCAAATTACACCAAACATTCAAAGAAGATATGAAACCCATCCTTCTCAAACTCTTCCAAAAAAAAAAACACAACAACTGAAGAAGAAGCAATACTTCCTAACACATTTTTATGAAACCATATACATAACCCTGACAATAATACAAAAAAAGAAAACTACAGACCACAATCTCTGATAAATGCAGATGCAAAAAAACAAAAAAACAAAATACGAGCAAATCAAATACAACAATACATTAAAAAACTAATACATCTTGATCAAATGGGATTCAGAAGGATTGATTCAATACACACAAATCGATCAGTGTAATACACATTAACAAAGAAAGGATAAAAATCATATGATCTTATCAACAAATGCAGAAAAAACATTTGATAAGATACAACATCCATTTATGATTAAAACATTCAATAAAATAGGTAAAGAAGGAATGTATCTCAACATAAAAAAGGCCATATGTGATACAACCACACCCAATATCATACTCAATGGTGAAAATCTGAAAGATTTCCTTTAAAATCAGGAACAAGACAAGGATGGCCACTCTTACCACTCTTATTCAACACAGTTCTGGAAGCCCTAGCCAGAGCAATCAGGCAAGAGAATGAAATAAAAGGCATTCAAATTGGGAAGGAAGAAGTAAAAATGTTGCTATTTGCAGATGACATGATTCTGGACATAGAAAACCCTAAAGACTCCACCTAAAACTATTAGAAACAATAAACAAATACAGTAAAGGTGCTGGATGCAAAACCCATGTACAAAAATCCACTGCTTTCCTATATACTAACAAAACTTCAGAAAAAGAAATGAATAAAAACAATTCATTTTGCACTTGCAGCCAAAGGAATAAAATACCTAGGAATAAACTTAATAAAGGATATGAAAGACCTGTATACTAAAAACTACAATGCATTATTAAAAAAAGATTGAAAAAACACCACAAAATGAAAAGATATTTTATGTTCATGAATTGAAGAATTAACATAGTTTAAATGGCCATATTACCCAAAACTATATACAGATTTAATGTAATCCTCATCAAAATCCCAATGTCATTTTTTAAAGAAACAGAACAACAACAAAATCAGATTTGTATGGAACCACAAAAGACCCCAAATAGCTAAAGTAATCTTGAGAAAAAAGAATGAAGCTAGAGTATCACAGTGAGCAATTTCAAATTATACTACAGAACTACAATAATCAAAACAGTATGGTACTGGAAGAAAAAAAAGACACACAAATCAATGGAACAGAATTAAGAGCCCAGAAATAAAACCAAACGTATACGGGCAGATAATTTTCGACAAAGGAGCCAGAAACACACAATGAAGAAAGACTTCAATAAATGGTGTTGGGAAAACATGCAAAAGAATGAAACTAGATTACAGTTTGTCTCCATGTCCAAAAATTAATTTCAAAATGGATCAAAGACCTAAATATAAGATCTGAAACAATATATTACATAGAAGAAAACATAGGTACTAAACTTGTGGACATAGAAGAAAACATAGGTACTAAACATTTTATGAATTTAACCCCAAAGGCAAGAGAAGTGAAGGCTAAAATAAATGAATGGGACTATATCAAACTAAAAAACTGCACAGCAAAATAAACAGACAACAAAACAAATAGGCACTGACCAAATGATGTTTACAAATAACAGTTTCAACAAAGGTTTAATATCTCAAATACACAAAGAACTCATAAAATTCAATCAAATAAACAAATTAAAAAACTGGCCCTGGCTGGTTTGGCTCAGCGGTTAGAGCATCGGCCTGCGGTCCGGAGAGACCCGGGTTCGGTTCCCGCTAAGAGCATGTACCTCGGTTGCAGTTTGTCCCGGGCCCTGGTTGGTCGTGCGGGTGGTAGCCACTCGATGTGTCCCTTTCACATTGATGTCTCTCTCTCTCTCTCTCTCTCTCTCTCTCTCTCTCTCTCTCTCTTCCTCTCTCTCCCTCCCACTCTATCTGTACAAAAAATGGAAAAATGTCCTCAGGTGAGGATGAAAAAAAAAAAAACTGACAGAGGACCTGAACAGACACTGCTCCCAAAAAGACATACAAACAACTAACAGTTATATAAAAAGATGTTCAACTTCATTCGCTATTAGAGAAATGCAAATCAAAATTACAACGAGATACCACCTTATACCTGTGATAATGGCTATTATCTACACAGGTAATGACGAGTGCTGGAGAGGTTGTAGAGAAAGGGAACTCTCGTTCACTGCTGCCAGGAATACAGACTGCTACAGCCATTATAGAAAACAGTCTGGCAGTTCCTCAAAAAATTAAATATAGAGTTATCATATGACCCAGTAATTCCTCTCCTGGGTATCTACCCCAAACACCCAAAAACATATTCTCAAAGATATATGCACCCCTATGTTCACTGAAGCATTATTCATAGTGGCTAACACATGAAAACAACTGAAGTATCCTTCAATAGAGGACTGGATAAAGAAGATGTGGTAAATTGGAAAGGAAAAAGTGAAACTGTCATTATTTGCAGATAATATGATGTTGTACATAGAAAACCCTTAAGACTTCATCAAAAATCTACTAGATTTAATAAATGAATATGGCAAAGTAGGATACAAATTAATGTCAGGAAATTGACAGCATTCTTATACATCAACAATGAACTCACAGAAAGAAACTAAAAAAAAATCCCATTTACCATTGTGGCAAAAAAATTAAGATACCTAAGAATAAACTTAACTAAAGAAGTAAAGGACCTCTTTGCAGAAAACTAGAGGTCATTGAAAAAAGAAATAGTGGAAGATATAAAAAAGTGGAAGCATGTACCTTGTTCATGAATTAGAAGAATTAACATAATTAAAATGTCCATACTACCCAAAGCAATCTATAGATTCAATGCAATCCCCATCAAAATACCAACAACATATTTCACAGAACTAGAACAAATACTCCAAAAGTTTATATGGGACCAAAAATGACCCCAAATAGCCACAGCAGTCTTGAAAAAGAATAACAAAGTAGGAGGGATCACAACACTGGATATCAGGTTATACTACAATGCCACTGTAATCAAAACAGCCTGGTACTGGCACAAGAACAGGCATACAGATCAATGGAACAGAACAGAGAACCCAGAAATTGACCCAAGTCATTATGCTCAATTAATATTTGACAAAAGTGGTAAGAGCACACAGTGAAGACAGCCTCTTTAATAAATGGTGTTGGGGAAATTGGACAGCTACATGCAAAAAAATGAAGCTAGATCACCAATTTACACCATACACAAGAATAAACTCAAAATGGATAAAAGACTTAAATGTAACTCATGAATCCATAAAAATCTTACAAGAAAATGTACACAACAAAATTTCAGATATCACACGCAGAATTTTCATTGATACAACGCCTAAGGCAAGAAAAACAAAGGACAAAATGAACACATAGGACTACAGCAAACTAAAAAGCTTCTGCACATCAAAAGAAACAAGTATCAAAATGGAAAGGGAACTCACTGTATGGGAGAGCATAACTGCCAACGATACATGAGATAAGGGGTTAATTTCCAAAATATATAGAGTACTCATACAACTCAACAAAAGGAAGACAAAGAACCCAATTAAAAAATGGGCAGAGGAACTAAATAGACACCTCTCCAAACAGGACATACAAATGGCCAAGAGACATATGAAAAACTGCTCAACATCACTAATCATCAGAGAAATGCAAATTAAAACAACTATGAAGTATCACCTCACACCTGTCAGAATGGCTGCCATCAACAAATCATCAAACAACAAGTGCTGGCGAGGGTGTGGAGAAAGGGGGACTCTAGTACACTGCTGGTGGGAATGCAGATTGGTGCAGCCACTGTGGAAGACACTATGGTGTTACCTCAAAAAGTTAAAAATTGAACTGCCATTTGACCCACTGATCCCATTTCCAGGAATATACCCTAAAAAGCCTGAAACACCAATCAGAAAGAATATATGTACCCCTATAATCATAGCAGCACTATTTACAATCACTAAGATCTGGAAACAGAACAAGTGTCCATCAATAGATGAGTGGATAAAAAAGCTGTGGTACATATACACAATGGAATACTATGCAGCCGTAAGAAAGATCTCTTATCCTTTGAGATGACATGGAGGGACCTGGAGAGTATTATCCTAAGTGAAACAAGCCAATCAGAGAAAGATAAATATCACATTATCCATTTACTTGTGGAATATAATGAACAAAACAAGCTGATGAACAAAATAGACCCAGAGACATAGAAGTAGGGTACAGGCTGACAAAACTCAAAAGAGAGGGTCTGAGGGGGAGGAAAGAGATGAACCACAGAACTTATATGCTTGTATACGTAACCGTGGACATAGACAACAATGCTGGGGGACGGGGTGGAGGGGTGGATCGGGAGAAGGGTGTCAATGGGGAAAAAAGGAGAAACATCTTAATAAAAATTAATTAATAAAAAAATTAAAAATAAAAAGATGTGGTACATATATATAGTGAAATACTACTCAGCCATAAGAAAAGATGAAATCCTGCCATTTGCAACAACATGATGAACCCTGAGAATATTATGCTAAGTAAAATAAGTCCATCAGAAAAAGCTAAGAACCACATGATTTCACCAAAAATAGAATATACAACTGAAACTCACAGACACAGACAACAGTGTGGTGTTTACCAGAGGAAAGGGGGTGGTGGGGTCAGAGTGGTCCTAATACATGATGACGGAAAATGGTTTGACTTTGGGTGGTGGGCACACAGTGCAATATACAGATTCCATATTATAGAAATGTACACTTGAAACCCACATGATCCTATTAAACAATGTCATCCCAATAAATTAAAAAAAAAATGCAAAAGTGAAAAAAATAAACACACACACACACACACACACAAATGTAGAAGTCAAACTTGCCCCTTTTGCCTCTGTAAACCCTTTCTCCAGAGGCCAACAGTTTTTTTAAAAAATATGTTTTTACTGATTTTTTTTTTTAGAGAGAGAGAGAATTGTTGATGTGAGAGAGAAACATCAATCAGCTGCTTCCTGCACACCCCGACTGGTGATCAAGCCTGCAACCTGGGCATGTACCCTGACTAGGAATTGAAACAGGCCCTCTCAGGCCATGGGATGATGCTCAATCCACTGAGCCACACTGGCTGGGCAGAGGCCAACAGTTTGATGCAAATGTTTCCTAACCTTCCCCATGCTTATCATGACATACCTATTACAGAAAAACATAAAGTTTTAAAAATTTCCCTGGCATGTCTTGCTCAGCGGTTAGAGAAAACCAGCCAGGACTCCACTGATTTTTAGAGAGAGAGGAAGGGAGGGAGACAGAGGAAGGGAGGGAGACAGAGGAAGGGAGGAGAGAGAGGGAGGAAGGAGCGGGGAGGGAGGGGGAGAGAGAGAGAGAGAGAAAGGGAGAAACACTGATGTGAGAGAGACACATCAACTGGTTGCCTCCTGCATGGGCCTTGACCCAGCTGAGGATCGAACCATAAGTTTCATTTCCAGTCACGGAAATGAAACTTATGACCCTTTGGTGCAAGGGCTGGCACTCTTACTACTGAGCCACACTGGCCAGGGCTGCATATTATACTTTAAAAGCTACTTTTGAATGTTGTTTCAAAAGAGCAGTATCAATTTATACTCTTACCAATACTACCCATTTCTCCATGCCATTATTCAGTCTCAGTGCCTTAGAACAATGATGCTATATTTGAAGCTTATTTTAAGCCACTCTTGGAAATAAATTTATCCCTGATAAGGAGAACTACTGCTTTCACTGGTCTAAAAGTTTCAACATTTGCCTAATTAAAATTTACATGATTATAAATGTGGTAAATGACTCCAGGAGATCAGCTGTAATCATGAACAACACAGTACTATCTGGACCAGGAAGTTCATGACCAACAGATTAGTTCAGTAGAAACAAATGTTCATTGGTGTCTTTCACCCTGAAGGCTACAGCACCTAAGATAGAATTTTGGGAAAAACCAGACAAAATGTGTAAGACCACACTAGATGTCATCTTTGTGTTTAGACTCAGGACCCGTTTTGTGGTGGCAAAACAACTGGCTTTGGCGTGATTTATGATTCCTTGGATTACGCTAAGAAAAATGAACCCAAACACAGATGCTTGCAAGACATAGCCTATATGAGATGACGACCTCCAGAAAGTAAAGAAAGGAACACAAGAATACAATGAAGAAAGTCGGGGACTGCAAAGGCCAATGTTGGTGCTGGCAAAAAGTGAGCTGGAGATTGGACAACAGAAGGAATAAAGATCATCTAGTGACTTTATCTGTAGCAATTGTACAGATTTTTCATGAGAGGATTAATAAACTAAGAACTCTTATGTGAAAAAAATTTGTTAAAATGCTAACACATACTTCATGGCATCTACTGGAGATCAAAAGGCATAAGGTATCCAATTAATCTCATATTTAAAAATTCATGGATTTAATATTTTTTAAATATAATATTTATTGAATGCCTACTGTGGGTCAGACAATATGCATAGAAAGACCCAAACAAAATCTGTGACTTCATATAATTTCTTTTTTTCAAACTTATTGATATTAGAGAGAGAGGAAGGGGGGAAGGGAGAGAGGGAAGAAAGGAGAGAAGGAAGAAGGGAGAGAGAGATCGATTTGTTGTTCCACTTATTTATGCATTCATTGGCTGATGATTGTATGTATCCTGACCAGGAATGGAACCCACAACCTTGGTGTATCGGGATGACACTCTAACCAATAGAGCTACCTGGCCAGGCCTGTGACTTCATATAATATCCACTCTAGTGGGGGATAGAAACTTCCTTGAAAAAAGTGCATATATGTAAGAGAGAGAAGTACAAAGAACATTTAAAGAAGGGAGAAGGATTTTGTGATCAGGAAGGGCATTTCTGAGGAGGTAGCCTTTGAAGAGAGATATGAAAGAAGGGTGAAAGCAAGTCATATGGGTATCAAAGGAAGAAGGATGTAGGCAGAGGGAAATACAAGTGCAAAGGCCTTGAAATGTGACTGACATATTTTCAGTAAAGATACTGATTTCACATCATTCAAACGTACCTCCCTGACAAGGTCCTGCTCTAAGTTATGGCGTCCAAGTAACATTCTTCTTTTGAAGCGACGGCACTCCAGCTCTAGGTATTGTCTCTGACGTCGAAGAAGATTAGCCTCTTCTTCTGCTTGGAAATGCTGTATATTCTCCTTCTGCTTTGAAAGCCACTCCTGTTTTTCTTTTTTTGGAGTGCTCTGGTTTTCATTTAGCTCCTAGCAACATTAAAAAAACTACTTAGTTCAAAATACATAAAAAATAACTACATGAATGTACCATTTGGTATCTGGTAAATTTAAATAAAAGTATTTTATCTATGTCCTCTCTAATGCTCAGGCAAGGCAATGCCTTTAAGGAGGTAGGTAATTTTTCCTTTTCTTTGAGTTACCCATGAAGTAGTACAGGAAAAGAGAAATGTATACTAGAAAGCATGCATGCTCTTTTAACTTTGCACAGCTAAATGTGTGATGGTTTCTACCTTCAAAAGCACAAAATGACTAGTAATAAAGTAAAACAAACCTTTCTTTAAATCCTTCCTGATACAGAAGGCAGTACTTTCAGGTAAAAATCATTTGTGAATTAAAATTAGGATTAAAATACAGTTACGTTCCACTTCTTGGTTTTTGACAGTCCAAGTATTAAGTTTTTGGCAAAATTATGGAGGGACTCAATATAAAATAACTGGAAATTAAATAGAAAAATCAACAAAACCATGGAAGAATAGAGATCTTCCTTATGAATGGTATTTAACATTCAGTACTGTTTAACCACAGAACAAACAAAACCAATATTTTTCTATAGCATTTTAAATATCATCTCATAAACTACCCAAATAAAATGTATTTTATTGGGTAAGATGAGCATATTGACAATATACTCAATGAGGCAAACCCTAGAATGCTAATTAATAATAGTATATTTCAACCTAAAAATCATCATCATTGCACAGAATATAAGTCAGCCACCTTTCCTAGCTATAAAATGATTTTTCAGAGATAATTAACTTTATGATCTTTCCGTTATTGAAGAAAAAGACCAATTCTTTGTAATTTTAGTTCATAAGATATTCAAACACATAAAAATATAAAGCACATAAATTAGTAGCTCTCAATGTAAGGGTATATGTGTATGCACACTATGGAAAAAGATAGGGATAACAGACATTTACATAAAGAATCACCTGGGTATCTTTTAAAAATCTATGAGGATCTTTTCCCACCAAGACTTTAAGTCCTTTCCTCTATGCAGAGAATCAGTATTCTAAATAAACACACACAAAGTTGGCTTCTAAAACAAAATAAATTTACTAGTAGAACTATAAGTTATATCATTAAAGGATTATCTAAACCAACACATCCATAAAATTAACATTTTTATTTCCCTGGGAAGCACAACCGCATAACTGCATTTTGTTGGATATTTACTTAAAGTTGTGAACCCTATTTACAATCTTTTCAAACTCAATGTTCCAGTATAGCTATAAATTGATGTCTTTGCAGTATAGAGCTTGGCTTCTGTATTATAGTCATGGGAACATACTGTAGGTTATACCCTCTAGAGTTGGAAAAATCTTATCAATAAAACTCTCTTGGCAGGGTACATATAGCAAGTCTTTGTTCCACCAATATGTCCATAGTAAGACTTACATACGTGATTATAAAGCAAATTCCTACATACACAAAAGCATTAGTATCAAAGATGACTGTATTTTATCAAGAGCAATTAATTTATCATTATGCTAATAATTGATTACATAGACTAAAAATTTAAATCAATCTGTAAGAGGGGGTTATAAACTGAGACATAATTTTTCTGTCATAAACACTATCCTGAGTAATTATCCCCTTTAAGAAATTGCCTTGGAATAATTAAGGTTTTTCAAAGTCATACTTCTTTTTGTTAATCCTCACCTGAAGATATTTTTCCATATATCATCAGATAGAGTTCCAGGAGGAAGGGAAAGAGAGGGAGAAAGAGAAACATCAATGTGAAAGAGACATATTGAATGGTTGCCTCCTGCACAACCTGGGCTGGGGATGAACTGCAACCAAGGTATGTGCCCTTGACCAGAATTGAAGCTGGGACTCACTGATTCATAGGCCAATGCTCTAACCGCTGGTTGAGCCAAACCAGCCAGGGCTATACTTCTGTTTAAAAGAAGCTCAAGAGCCCAGGCCGGTTTGGCTTAGCGGTTAGAGCGTCGGCCTTTGGTCCAGAGAGACCTGGGTTCGGTTCCCGCTAAGGGCACATACCTCGGTTGCAGTTAGTCCCCGGCCCTGGTTGGTCGAGCGGGTGGCAGCCACTCGATGTGTCCCTTTCACATCGATGTTTCTCTCTCTCCCTCCCACTCTATCTGAACAAAAAATGGAAAAATGTCCTCGGGTGAGGATAAAAAAAAAAATAAATAAATAAAGTTCAAGAAAGCAGCTCATAGTCCTGGCCAGGTGGCTCAGCTGGTTGGAGTGTCATCCATACAACAAAAGGTTGCAGGTTCTATTCTCAGTCAGGGCACATTCCCAGGTTTCGGGTTCAATCCCAGGTTGGAGTGCATACGGGAGGCAACTGATGGATGTTTCTTTCTCTCTCTCTCTCTTGCCCTAAAAACCAATAAAAACATATCCGTGGGTGAGGATTGAAAAAAAAGTGAGAAGAAAAAAAAAGAATGCAGCTGATAAAGGGCCACATGAAATTATGTGGCCATAAAGAGATAATCAACATGTTCTCCCATTAAAGAAAATGTGATGAGCAAATAAGTCTCTTATCCTTACTCTATGTTAAAATTGGAATAAGAACAAATTATTATAGTCTGAGCCAAAAGTAAGAAAAAAAGAGGGTCTGGTTTACTTTTAAAGAAAATGTATGACTTTTTTTTAATACTTTAAATATGTTTATTTCTAGTGAGTCAGTTACTTAATAAATGCACAGGAAAGCTATTATAACTAATTTATACTTTTAAGAGATGACTCTTTTTCGATCCTACTCAACTGAGGATTCTCAGTCCATTGCCAATTAACTGATTATAATCAATGTCTTCATTCAAACTGATAAACATTAGTGACCACAAAAAACAAAAGAAAAATTTATCTTGCATAGGGAATATAGTCAATAATATTGTAATAAATATGTATGGTGCCAGGTGAGTACTAGATTTATTAAGGAGATCACTTCATAAGTTATATGGTGCACCTGAAACTAATATAATATTGAATGTCAACTATAATTGAAGAAAAAAATTAGAAAATTTATGCTAATGATCCTACGAGCTAATTAGCATTGGATATAATTAATAATCCAATAACTGCTTTGAAAATTTTTTATAAAATCAGTACCTCCTTAAGCTGTTCTTTCCGAAGTTTATATTCTCTTTTCTGGGACTCCAAAAAGCTGTTCAGTTCTTTCTTCTGTTGGGCCTGAATATGCTGCTGGAATTTTTTTTCCTCATTGGCCATCACTTTAGCCTGTAAAAAAATTTTAAAATCTATCAAATTGGTTAAGTAGATTCAAAGCAGCAATTTAATACATATCACCAAGTATACCTTTGTTCCCCAAGATCATAAAATCAGTATAAGCATAACTAAACAAGAATTCCCAAATAATTACTCATAAGTATTACTCAGATCTTTTATTATATAAATTTTAGAGAACCAGTAAAAAATTCTTTAAAATAATATAATATATATCATCCGTTTTACTTCTGATTACATACTCAATACATATCCATTGTAGAACGTTTAAGAAATGTAGAAAAACACAAAGAAGAAAATCTTATATGATTTTAGCACCCAGAAATAACCAATATAAACAGTTTGGTGATACCCTTCCTAATTTTTTCACGCATATATATTTTTTAAACAAATCTGCAATCATATTTTACATCTTGTTTCATAAATTGCTTTCCTAAATATGTTATTCTCAAGTTATTCAAAATACAGGATTTGAAACAAACCCAAAAGGAGACTTCCGGTCAAGATGGCAATGTAGGCAAATGCGGTATCGCGTCCTCCCACAACCACATCAAAGTTACAACTAAACTACAGAACAACCATCATTCAAAACCGCCTGACATCAAGCTGAGTGGAAGTCCTACAACTACGGAATTAAAGCAGCAGCCACATCCAGACTGGTAGGAGGGGCGGAGGTGGATGGGCTGGTCCCACACTCATGTGTGGCACATAAAAATCAGGAGGACACCTTGGCTGGGAAGGTCCTCCCTGAGGAATGAGGGGTCCCCGTCCCACACCAGGTACCCCGCTCAGGGTTCCAGTGCCAGGAAGAGAAGTCCCCATAACTTCTGGCTGGAAAAACCAGAGGGAACTGAGGCTCAGGGAAGCTGAAGCGGCCGGAGCCCCAGGCGGCTCCGTAAAGGCCCATGCACGAACTTATCGGACTCTCTCCCTCTAAGCTTGGAGGGGAGGCAGCTCGAGGGGCGCCAGAGACATACAGGGAAGAACTGAGCTGTTTGGCACTGGAGCGAGAGCTGGAGAGGGGGCTTTCTCCGGGACAAACGTGCTGTCAGAGGCCTTTATTCCTTTGGTGAGCCCTTCCCTGGGGCGGCAGACAGAAGCCATATCTGGGACTCCAGCAACCTGGCTCACACTGGTAGCCCCGCCCTGGTGACTCCCTGAGGCCCTGCCCCGCCCCACCCCACTTTCAGGCCCACCCAAGCTCTTGCCACTTGCTTCACCATAGGATTGGCCTGTCTTGGATCCTGCTTCAGGTTTTTCCTAAATTCTTTCAAACGAGCAGCATCTGGTCTCAGCTAGCCCCATACCTCTCGTTAAGTAATGCACTGAAACAAACACAGGGAGGCAGCCAAAATGAGGAGACAAAGAAACAGGTCCCAAATGAAAGAAAAGAACAAACCCCAAGAAAAGAACTAAGTGAAATGGAGATAAGCAACCTAACAGATGCTGAGTTCAAAATACTGCTTATAAGGATGCTCAATGAACTTAGTGAGAACCTCAGTGAACTTAGTGAGGGCCTCAAGAGCATAAAAAAGGACCAGTCAGAAATCATGGATGCAGAGTTAGAATTGAAGGAGGCATTAACTGAAATAAAGAATAATTTACACAGCTTCAATAATAGAGTACGTAAATCCAAGGAGCAAACCATCGATTTGGAATATAAGGAAGCAAAAAATGCCCAATCAGAACAGCAAAAATAAAAAAGGATCCAACAAAATGAGGATAGTGTAAGGAGCCTCTGGGACAACTTCAAGCATGCCAACATTCGCATCTTGGGGGTGCCAGAAGGAGAAGAGCGAGAACAAGAAATCGAAAACCTGTTTGAAACAATAATGGCAGAAAACTTTCCTAACTTGGTGAAGGAAACAGACATACAAGTCCAGGAAGCACAGAGCGTCCCAAACAAGATGAACCCCAAGAGGCCCACACCAAGACACATCATCATCAAAATGCAAAAGGTTCAAGACAAAGAGAGAATCTTAAAAACAGCGAGATAAAGGCAGCTAGTTACCTACAAGGGAGTTCCCATAAGGCTGTCAGATGATTTCTCAAAAGAAACTTTGCAGGCCAGAAGGGAGTGGCAAGAAATATTCAGAGTGATGAAAAGCAAGAACCTACAACCAAGATTTCTCTATCCTGCAAAGCTGTCATTTAGAATCGATGGCCATATAAAGACTTTCCCAGACAAGAAAAAGTTAAAGGAGTTCATCACCACCAAACCGTTATTATATGAAATGATGAAGGGTCTTTTTGAAGAAAAAGATAAAATATATGAACAAACAAAATGGCAATGAATACATATCTTTCGACAATGGAATCTACAAACAAAATGAACAGGTAGAACAGAAACATTCTCATAGATACAGAGAACATTTTGTTGGTTGCCAGTAGGGAGGGGGGTGGGGGAATGGGTGAAAAAGGTGAAGAGATTAAGAAGTACAAATTCATTGCTAGTCTGACAAACCTCAAAGGTAAAGGGTTTGGGGGTGTGGGAAGAAACAAACCAAAGAACTTATATGCATAACCAATGGACACAGACAATAGTGTGGGAAAAGGCGGGAGGGGGATGAGAGTGGGGAGGAAGGGGTCAATGGGGGAAAAATGTGGAACATCTGTAATACATTTTACATTGAACAATAAACATTAAAAAAAAAAAAAAAGAAACAAACCCAAAAGGATTTGAAATATTTACTTTCTTTCACAAAATTATTTCAAATATTTACACTATAAATTACTTTGTATTGATTTTTTTTTTAGATAGAGTGGGAGGGAAAAGAAGGAGGGAGGGGGGGAGAGAGAGAGAGAGAGAGATCGATGTGAATGACACATCGATTGGTTGCCTCTTGCACGACCCTGACTAGGGTCAGGGATCGAACCCACAACCCTTTGGTCCAGAGGCCGACACTCTAACCGTTGAGCCAAACCAGCCAGGGCATGAATGATATTTTGAGGCCTAAACCTGGGTGATTTATCAAATTCCTCAATAACCAAAGTATTCAAGGTCTAGAATAGTTGAATGACTTCCCAATGTGACACTATAAAACTATCAAGTGTCAGAGATGATCTCATGTCTATTGGTTCCCATACTCAGTACTTGATATTATTCTCATTATATAAATATTTCTCCCTTTCACCAGTTGATTTGCTTGGTTCTTGGGAACAGATACACTAACATCAAAATGCTCCCTTAATTAATTCTGAGATGATCAAAAGCTAGAATAAATAAATTAATAATACTGAGCCCTGGCTGGGTAGCTCAGTTGGTTAGAACATCAGCCTGATGCGCCAAGGTTTTGGGTTTGATCCCCGGTTAGGGCATATATAAGAATCAACCAATGAATGCATTAAGTGAAACAACAAAGTGTTGTTTCTCTTTCTCTCTTCCTGCCTCTAAAAATCAATCAATAAACTAAAAAATTTAAAAAAACAAAACTAAATCAGCCACCTCTTTTTCCATAGCAGCCTGATGTTTCTTGATAAGTTTCTCCATTTCTGCAGCAAAGTTGTTACGTTGAGTTTCAAGATCTTTATCTAATCTGAGGCGATGTTCATCCATTTCAGCCTTCAGCTTATTTTCCAGAGTCATCAACTGCTTTTGATGTTGCCGCCTCATTCTCTTATAGCCAGACATCTGTTCTCTAAGCTCAGAGTCCTGCTCATGTTCTTGCATTTGCCTTGTAACCTAGAAGAAAAGAATAAAATAAAGCAAAACATTTTCCTTTTAAAAGCATTTTAGACCACTCTAGCATTAACTAAGTAGGCAATTAATGTAAGAGATCCCAGCTAGCAGTTTCCAGTTAAATTTCCAGTGGGTTCTTTAAACAGACAAGCTGGTTCTAAAATTTATATGGGAATGTAAAGGGCCTAGAATAGCCAAAACAATCTTGAGGGGGGAAAAAGTTGGAAGACGAACACTTCAGTAATCAAAATAGTGTGGTTGTAAGGATAGGCTGGACAGATCAAAGGAATAGAATAAAATCTAGAAACAGACCTCTACCTATTCAGTCAAATGATTTCTACCAAAAGGTCAAGTTAATTCAAAGATAAAAGGAAATCCTGCTAAAACAACTGGTTCTTTATATTAAAAAAATAAATAAACCTTGACTCCTATATTAGCCTACATATAAAAATTAATTTGAAAATAATTATTTAACCCAAACATAAAACCCAGAATCAAATAGCGGAGGTAAACATAGAATATCTTCACAACCTTGGGGTAGGCAAATATTTCTTGGACAGTACACAAAACGCACTGACTATAAAGAAAAAAATGTATAAATTAGGTTCTTAAATTGAGGTGAATTTCACATAATATAAAATTAATCACTTTCAAGTGAACAACTTAATAGCATTTAGTACATGTGTAATTTTATGCAACTACCATCTGTATCCAGTTACAAAATATTTTTATCACCACAGAAGAAACCCTGTATTTGTTATACAGTTGCTCCCTAGACTCCCTTTTTGGTAATCTCCAATCTGTTTTGTCTCTATGGATTTATCTATTCTGGATATTTCATATAAATAGAACCATATAATGTGACCTTTTGTGTCTGGCTTCTTTCATTTAGCATGTTTTCAAGGTTAATCCATTTTATATAGCATGTACCAGTACTTTGTTCCTTTTTATAGCAAAATAATATTCTACTGTATATATATGCCATAATTTGTTTATCCATGCACTTGTTGTGAATATTTGTGTTGTTTCCACCTTTTGGTTATTGTGAATAATGCTGCTATGAACATTCATGTACACGCACTTGTTTAAATACCTGTTTTCAATTCTTTGGGGTATATACCTTGGGGTAGAATTACTGGGTCATGTGGTAAATCTATGTTTAACTTTTTGAGGAATAATCAACTGTTTCCACAGCAGCCAAACCATTTTACATCCTACCAGCAGTATACAGGAGTTCCAACTTCTCTGTATGCTCTCCAACACTTATTTTCCTTTTTTTCTTAAACAGCCACTCTAGTGGGTATGATGGTACCTCACTGTGGTTTTGATTTGTATTTCCTCAGTGAATAAAGATGTTGAGCATGTTTTCATGTGCTTGTTGGTCATTTGTGTATCTTCGTTGGATAAATGTCTATTCAAGTACTTTACCTATTTTTATTTAATGTTTTTATTGACTTTTTAGAGAAACAGAGGAAGGGAGAGAAACATCGATGTGAAAGAGAAATACTGACTGGCTGCCCTCTGCATGCCCTCCACTGGGGATCGAGCTGACAACGTAGGCATGTGCCCTGCCAGGGATTCGAACCGGGCCCTCTCAGTCCACAGGATGACCATGCTCAATCTGCTGAGCCATAATGGCCAGGCCCTTTGCCTATTTTTAAATTTGGTTATTTAAACTAGATTTTAAAACTAAAAAAAAAATTACTTTATCACTAAGAAAACAGTAAGAAAAAGAATAGTATATCACAAATGGAGAAAAATATTTGCAAGATATATATGAGATAAATACTTATATCCAGACTATATAAAGAACTACTACAAATCAGTTTTGTTTTTTTTTAAGAATGGTATTACTTGTTCCATTCTTTTTTATTTTTTATCCTCACCCGAGGACATTTTTGCATTCATCTTCAAATAGAGGAAGAGGGAGAGAGGGAGGAAGAAAGAGAGAGAAACAATGATGTAAGAGAGACACATCGAGTGGTTGCCACCCTCATGACCCCAACCAGGGCTGGGGACAAACTGCAACCGAGGTATGTGGCCTTAGTGTCAACCTAACCCAGGACTCTCCAGTCTGCAGGCCGACGCTCTAACTGCTGAGCCAAACCGGTCAGGGTTACAAATCAGTATGAAAAGGATGAACATGTAAATAAGAAATCAGGCAAAAACTTGAATAGATACTTCACTCAAGAACATACATGATTGGACAATAAGCACATGAAAAGTGATTATGGTGATATCTACATTGTCATAGGGAAATGCAAAAAAAAAGGGACCCACTATGAGATTCCATTTGACACCTGCTAGAATGACTAAAACAAGACTTATGCCCTGGCAGGTTTGCTCAGTGGTTAGAGAGCACTGGCCCATGGACCGAAGGGTTGTGGATTCAATTCTGATCAAGGGCATGTACCTGGGGTACAGGTTCCATCCCTAACCCCCTTTGGGGTTGTGTGGGAGGCAACTAATCAATGTATCTCTCATACCAATGTTTCTCTCTTTCTCTCTCTCTCTCTCTCTTGCTCCTCCATCCCCCCCACCCTATCTAAAATAAATGGAAAAAAATATATCCTTGGGTGAGGATTAACAACAACAAAAAGACTGACAACACCAAATGCTGAACAGGATGTGAAACAACTGGAACTTTTACATTGCTAATGGTCATGTCAAATGGAACAAACATTTTGGGAAACTTCAACAGTTTCTTATAAATTTAAACATACATATACCCTATGAGTTTGCAATTCTATCCTTAGGTATTTACCAAAAAGAAATTAAAACATCATGTTCACATAAAGACTTGTACAAGAACATTTATAGCAACCTATGTGTAATAGCTCAAAATGGGATTCAAATCAAATGCTCATCAATAGAAGGAATAAACGGAAAACTATAGTAATAAAAAAGACTGAACATAAAAACATAGATGTATCTCAAAATCATTAAGCTGAGCAAAATAAGTTCAACTCAGAAGAGTACATTCTGTGTGATTCCATTCATATAAAATCCAAAAACAGTTAAACCTAACAATATTGAAGAAATAGAAAGTAGTGGTCATGAAAATGGCAAACTGACTAAATGGGGGTATGAAGGGAATTTTCTGGGATGACAAGAAATTTTACACATCCTGTTTTTTATGGAATGGTTAACATAAGATATGCCATTATAAAAACTCTTCAAACTGAGTATCTAAGAATTGAACTTTTTATTATATGAAAAAAAATTCAAGGCAAAGAATTTAGAATGAATCATAGTATATGGTAAATATATTAAATAATATAGCTATGCATATCTTTGTACACAAACCTACATACTCTAAAATTTTATTTAAAATAAATGGAATTTATTAAGGATATAGATATGGACCTTAAGTTTTCTAAATCCATAATTTAAGTGCTCTTAATGAATTTGAGGGAGTCAAATTTTGGGACAGAAGACTTGCTTGAGAAACATTTATTTATTTATTTATTTTTATTATTATTTTTGTTAATCCTCACCTGAGGACATTTTTCCATTTTTTGTTCAGATAGAGTGGGGGGGAGAGAGAGAGAGAGAGACAGAAACATCGACATGAAGGGGACACATCAAGAGGTTGCCACCCGCACAACCCAACCAGGGCCGGGGACAAACTGCAACCAAGGTACACAACCTTAGCAGGAACCAAACCTGGGTCTCTCTGGACCACAGGCCGACACTCTAACCGCTGAGCCAAACTAGCCTAGCTAGCTTGCTATCTATCTATCTATCTATCTATCTATCTATCTATCTATCTATCTATCTATCTATCTGGAGAGAGAGACAGAAACATCAATAAGAGAGAACATCAACTGGCTGTCTCCTGCATGCCCCTCCCACCAGGGATATGACCCACAACCTGGGCATGTGCCCTGATTGAGAATCGAACCGGTAACATCTTGGTGCATGAGCCAACACTCAGTCACTGAGCCATACCAGCCGGGCACATGGGAAACATTTAATAGATGCCAAGCCACAAAGATGTTTCCCCACAAACTGGCCCCTCTCAATATATTTATTAAAATATTCATGACAAAAATTAAGCAACTTTTTTTTTTTTTTGACACTTGCTCTGTTCAAAGAGTTATTTAGCCCTGGCCGGTTTGGCTCAGCGTTTAGAGCGTCGGCCTGCGGTCCGGAGAGACCCGGGTTCGGTTCCCGCTAAGGGCACGTACCTCGGTTGCAGTTTGTCCCCGGCCCTGGTTGGTCGTGCGGGTGGCAGCCACTCGATGTGTCCCTTTCACATCGATGTTTCCCTCTCTCTCTCTTCTTCTCTCTCCCTCCCACTCTATCTGTACAAAAAATGGAAAAATGTCCTCGGGTGAGGATTAAAAAAAAAAAAAAAAGAGTTATTTAGATGTTGCAGAATAGGAGGAACGTCCTGAATTACAATGGGAGATGGTGTTCTTGACCGCACATCATACAGGTTTTCAAGGGTCACAGCATGGGATTTATAAACCTGCATATGTAGTTGATAATTCAGATAAACTCCCTTAGCTACCTTTCTTTCTGTCATATATTCCAATAGTCTACTTTTCCTATAATAAAATTTCTTTCTATCCTTAGAATCCTTTACTATGTTTTGGTTCTACCTATCTGACTAATCAGGGTTATAAGTACCCCATAAAAACAACGTTCTTGTAATGAACAAATGACCATTTTTATTGTTATTTGAGAAATCAGAAGAACTACATTTGAGTATATCAAATTGGATCACCTGACATTTCCCAAACATTCCCCCTCATTTTGGTTAGCCTCAATATTTCCTTATTGTTAATTCTTACATGGAAACAACATTTCACCTCTCCCTTGAGCCTAAAACAAATTATTTAAGACTCAAAGAATTTGGTTTATACATACTTTCTTCATGCCCTGAATTAAAAATAATCTGAATTCCAACTTAGTATCTTATAGTCCTCGTTAAGTGTTTAATATATTCTAACATATTAGTTATTTGTGTACATGTCTTGATTATATAAATCTTTCTCATAACAGGCACTTATATATGAATGAATATTTTGCAAAATAAACCTCAAATACAAAAAAATAGTTATATTTGAGTATAGATGTAAAGGTCCAACATGAAAAATATACTTCTCATTCAGGTGAAGTACATACCAGTGATGCTGTCCGTATCGTAGCAAAATGTTCTCGATTACGATAGTGTGATTTATGACGAGATACTTGGGGCGGAGATTGTGGATCTGACGCTCTTGTTCTAGGATCTCCTTCTTCTCTGTAATTTTCTTCCTCCTAGACAAAGAAAGGGATAACACTGTTTAAGGTGAACAGAGTTCCTTTAAACTTTCAAGAAAATTGGTTTAAAGACAAATTGATCAACAAATCTCAAAGACATAAATTTAAAAGGAAAAAACAAAAATCAGGAATGCTGTTATTTTATTTTCAACAGAACAGAATCAAGAGACATTATTTCTTCAGTGTATGAAGCAGCACACAGATTCAGGATAAGAAAATGTATAAGGCTAGATTTATATCTTACTCATTATATGCAAAACTGCAAAGCTTTGATATGACTTGAAAATAATGATAAAACATGCAGCCTATATTTTAAACAGCAGTAATAAAATTAATTACTCTAAGGCTCTTGGGGTTTAGAAGCAATAATATAGCTTAAAAATATATTTATAATACTTCTCCCATTTATCCAAGATAATAAAAATATAGCTATAAATTGATGTCTTTCCTTATGTAGTACCTTAGTTCATTAACTAAAGAGAAGTCAATTAAGTAGCAAACTAATTGTAGGACTAATCTTTTATACTGTTAATTCTATTGTAAGAATATAAAAATTAAACATGATTTTGCTCTGAATAACACTACTATTCATCTTTCTTAATAATTTTTTTGTAGCTGGTAAAATACATGTAATATAAAAATTGCCATTTTAACCATCTTTGAGTATACAAGTCAGTGGCACTAATTACATTCTCAATGTTGTGCCATCATTAACACTATTTCCAAAACTTTATTATCACCCCAACTGGAAACTCTGTATCCATTAATAAAAGCTCTCCATTTTGTCTTCTACTCAGCCCTGGTAACCTCTAATCTACATTCTATTGCTATGAATTTGCCTACTCTAGAAATTTCATGTAAGTGGAATCATACAATATTTGTCTTTTTGCATCTGGTTTATATCATTAGCATAATGTTTTCAAGGTTCATTTGATGTAGTATGTATCAGAATTTCATTCATTTTTATAGCTGAATAATATTCCATTAGATATATATACCACTTTTTGTTTGTTAATTCATTTGTTGATGGACATTTGCATTGGTTCCACCTTTTAGTTAATACCGCAAGCTATTAATAAAAAGAAAAGCATTCCACCCTGGCCAGTCTGGCTCAGTGGTTGGAGCGTTGGCCTGCAAATCGAAGGGTTGAGTGTTCCAGGTCGAGTGTTTTAGGTCGAGTGTTCCGTTCCTGGTCAAGGGCACATACTTGGGCTGGGGGTTTGATTCACCCGCTCCATGTGGGAGGTAGCCAAACATCAATGTTTTTTTCTCTCTCTCTCTTCCTCCTTCCGTTCCTTCCTTCTACTCTCTCTAAAAAAAAAATCAGCCCTGGCCGGTTTGGCTCAGCAGTTGGAGTGTCAGCCTGCAGACCAGTGAATCCCAGGGTCAATTCTGGTCAAGGGCATGTACCTCGGTTGTGGTTCATCCCGACCATGGTCGGGTCGTGCGGGAGGCAACCAATTGATTTGGCTCTATCACATCAATGTTTCACTTTGTCTCTCTCTCTCCTTCCCTCCCTCCCACTCTATCTGATAATAAACGGAAAAATACCTCTGGGTGAGGAATAAAAAAAAATTAATGGAAAAAATATCCTCAGGTGAAGATTAACAAAACAAACAAAAAAAAAGAAGCATTCCTATCAATTGTTAAAAGGAACTACCTAGACTTCAAGAAAATTTAAAATTTTGCACTTGAAAGTGCAAAAATAATGTAGCAAATACCCCCATTTCTGGTACCCAGAATTTATAATTATCCATGTAAACATGAATAATGCAAAAGTTACTTTTTTATTTTTTAATCCTCACCCATGGATATGTTTTTCATTGATTCTAGAGAGAGGATGGGAAAGGGAGAGGGAGAGAGAGAGAGAAACATTGATTGGTAACTTCACCTATGTGCCCAGACTGGGAATAGAATTCATGACCCTTTGGTGCACTGGACAATGCTCTAACCATTGTGCAACACTGGTCAGGGCCAAGTTACTTTTTCTTTCTTTCTTTTTTATTTTATTTTTAATTATATTTTTGATACAGATGTTTCTCCTTTTTCACCCCATTGACACCCTCCTCCCCATCGCCCCCGCCCTGTCCCCAGCTTTGCTGTCTATGTCCATTGGTTATGCATACATGCATATAAGTTCTGTGGTTTATCTCTTCCCATCCCCCACCACCCCCTCTTCTGAGGGTTATCAGTCTGTACCCTACTTCCATGTTTCTGGGTCTACCCTATTCCTCAGACTGTTATATTCATTATATTCCATATATAAATGAGATCATGTGGTATTTGTCTTTTTCTGCTTGGCTTGTTTCACTTAGGATAATACTTTCCAGGTCCCTCCATGTCATCTCAAAGGATAAGAAATCTTTCTTTCTTACAGCTGCATAATACTCCATTGTGTATATGTACCACAGGTTTGTTATCCATTCGTCTACTGATGGACACTTGGGCTGTTTCCAGATCTTAGCTATTGTAAATAGTGCTGCTATGAACACGGGGGTACATATATTCTTTCTGATTGGTGTTTCAGGCTTCTTAGGGTATATTCCTAAAAGCGGGATCACCAGGTCAAATGGAAGTTCAATTTTTAATGTTTTGAGGTAACACCATATCGTTTTCCATAGTGGCTGCACCAGTCAAAAGTTACTTTTGATCATCCTAACCCTTTCTCCTACGACCCAAAGGCAATCATTATCACTAATTTCATGTGCATACTCACTATTTTAAAATACTTTTTCATCTAAATAACTTCAAATAATACATTGTATCGTATTTCTGTATTTCTTTCTTCTAAGATTTTAAAAATATTCTTTTTGTATTCTCAAAACATTAGTTTCCCAAATGCAGACATTACATTGGGAATTAACAAGCCTATTGTTCCAAACTCCTGAAACATTAAAAACAAACAAAAAATTTCCTCTTAAACTAATCAGATGAAGAAAATTATTTACCAAAGTTAAAATTTTTCACTGAAACTCAAATACTCACAGGTTTTAAGTGGATGACAGAACTATTAGACATCACTGTGTGATCTCCCTCCATCATGTCTAGCTCACTCTTGTCGTCTGAGGCATCTGGAAGACTGTTAACACTACTACTTTGGCTACTGGCACTAATGGACATACTGGGAATAGACTGATTACTTCCAACACTATTCACTGTGCCTGTCCGTCCAACACCATGATCTTGTTCCTAAGAGGAAAAGAGCATTAGGTTCAAATATCTCTATTTCTTTTGAACTCTTGAGTATAATTACATAACACATTGCTTGGCATACAGTCTTTAAAAAATCAGAGATCTATCACAAGAAATTCCCTTTTATTTGTCAAGACCAAGAAGTTTACCAACTATTATTTGACAGTTAAACAGATAAAAGTGACCGTAAGTAAATAACAAAAAAATCCAACCGTGTGAAAAAGCCAGTTAATCAGTTTGAGTTATTTCTAAAGTATGTAATTTTCTTTTTGAAAAAATTTTGTTTTTACCCTGGCCGGTTTGGCTCAGTGGTTAGAGGGTCGGCCTGAGGACCAGAGAGTCCCGGGTTCAGTTTCCGCTAAGGGCATGTGCCTCGGTTGCAGTTTGTCCCTGGCCCCGGTTGGAGTCATGTGGATGGCAACCAGTCGATGTGTCTCTCTCATATTGATGTTTCTCTCTCTCTCTCCCTCCCTCTCTCCCTCCTGCTCTATCTGAAGATAAATGCAAAAATGTCCTCAGGTGAGGTTAAAAAAAAAAGAAAAAATTTTGTTTTCTTTACTGATTTTAGAGGAAGAGGGAGAGAGAGACAGAAACACTGATGAGAGAGAACATCGACTGGCCACCTCCTGCATGTCCCCCACTGGGGATCTGGCCCACAACTTGGGCATGTGCCATGACTAGGAATCGCACTGGCAACCTCTTGGTGCATGGGTCAATGCTCAACCACTGAGCCACACCGGCCAGGCTAAAGTGTATCATTTTCTCTAAACTGTTTGACATTTTTTGAAATCCATTTCTACTACACATCTCATGGGTTATATATAGAGATTTTGCTCATTGCTCAATGATTCCCATGATTAAAACAAGCCCCAATTCTTTTTAATCTTGTAAACCGCTTTGAGTTGGTATTTTTTACTGAAGCCCTTTATATTTTCCTTTCTTCCTCAGAATATAGTCTCTAGCCTATCCTCTACCACCAAATAATTAACATAATTCCTATACATTTTTGTGTAAATTGAAAATTACATATTATTTATATATTTAATCATAATTATAAGACTGGTTTTCTCAAGTAACCAGGCAAGCAAAGGTATCTGGGGACCAACAGTATAGTAGTCTTACCACATCAAAATTCTGTAAGATATGCAGAATTTTAAAAAGATATGCAGAATTTAATTGTATCTCTCTCTCTCTATGTATACACACACACACACACACACACACACACACACATGAACTTACATCCCTAGTCGATCAGAGATGCTAAATTAGAATTAGATTTAACTACATTAGAATTTTATTAATTTTATATATTTCATATATATTTAAAATAGCCCCAAACAGCCCTGGCTGGTTTGGCTCAGTGGTTGGAGCATCGGCCTGGGGACCAGAGAATCCTGGGTTCAGTTCCTGCTAGAGGCACATACCAAAAAAAAAAGTCCCAAACAATTTTCTAATGACTATCATTAATAAAACAAAATAAAAACTCTAAGTTGAGAAAGTATTGTATTTTATAGTTCATTAATTATGCAGTACTATTAAAAAGAAAAGTAAGTAACTACTGCTCCTTGTTTTAGAATGCAAAATGACAAAATGATCTCCTCACTGGAAAGCAATACAAAAGACTCAAAGCTTTGGAATTCTAACAGGAGCAAAGAAGAAAATATTTAGAGTGAAAAAGGTAACTCCACAAATAAGTTATATATATAGATATAGATATAGATTTCCTTATGAGGAAGTTCTTTATCATTTCTATTACAAATCGGTACTTCCATTCTCCCTAAACGGCAACATGGAAAGAACGTGGCCTTGAGAGTGAGTGATACATGAATTTGAACCTACATGCCTCTACCTAAGGTGAGTTAATTAACCATTTTGAGGCTTGCTTTAATCACTTGTAAAATGAGTATTTTAGAACTGTGTGGATGGAATAAAATCGTGCAGAACTGAAAAGAATCAAGTGTCTATGGGGACACAGTAGAATGCTTGGTAACTCTGTAATACCTTCTGAGTCAGTAATTGGCAACTTCCAGAGTTGAAAAGGTTTCTTTAATAAAAGACTTAGCAGAGCTTTACTATGCATGTACCCTACAAAAGGGTTGGGTGTATATAATGCAAAGTCTTTTTCCTACCTGCGATCCTTACAGGACCAGTATTAAAAAAATACAGTCTAGGAACCACTGATCAAAAAGATCTGTGGCAAGACAAATTGCATAAGGAAAGAAGCCAATAAAGAGAGCTTAGTTATTTCAGTAATTTCTATAGTATTACCTCTTCTTCTTCCTGTGCTTCTACTGCTGGTCCATTATGTGCCTCCTGGAAAAGGAGTTTCTTCATCTTTCGATACTGCAGATTGTCCAGCTCTCTTACTGCATCTTTTGTCCTTTGAATGAGATCTATTAACACTGTTTCAGGGCGCTCCCGAAGAACAAACATGTGCTGGGTAAGACAAAGTAAAAGTCAGGTTGAAACCTATACTGTATATATTTTCAATTAGTACAAATGTACCCCTTCTCAGATCCTAGAATTACTATCCTAAATAATTATAATAGATAATACATATAATCTATAGCTATCTACTTATATTCTACTTCTGACTTCTTCCATTTACAAAGTTGTCATTTACACATACACACACTGTGTCTACAAAACTACCCCTGCACATTTTATAAAAACTTTGAACATGATACCTTTGTTGGCCAACTGAAAATGCTGAGTTAAAATAATCAAAAGGTCTAATTAAACTCTAAGAATTAAGTTCAATTCTTAAATTAGAGCCCTAAATAAAGGCTAAATCAAGGTTTATATATTATAGAACTGCTGATTTCATAGGTAAGACATATTAAGTTCTGAGTTAGGTTTCAACAGGAATGTATTTACTGATGGTGGTTTTATGTCACATAAACTTGGATATTGTGGGTTCCTTCATATGTTGCATAAGCAACACTTCACAAAACACTAGCAGCTGATTAAAAGCCATTATTATATTATTAACATTTAATAAAGCTTAACCTTATCAAAAACAGAATAGTAGAAAGAACAATTCCACCATTAGAATTACCACTGTTACATTTTGGTATATTTCTTTCCTTTCATTTTTTTTCTCTTTTTTTCAATTATAGTTGACATTAACATTATATTAGCTTCAGGTGTACAGCATAGTGGTTAGATATTTTAAAACTTACGAAGTGATTCCCCCTAAGAAGTCTAGTACCCACCTGGCATTATACATAGTTACTACAATATTATTGATTACATTTTCTAAGCTGTACTTTACATCTCTGTGATGGTACATTTCTTTTCAGAAATTTTCCATGTACAGATTTTGTTTTGTAGATACAAAGTTAGCATATAGATTGCAGAGAGATACCTTTTAAGTTGAATTCATGAGATACCCTTGAATTCTTAATCACACTCATTGGATGGTTACTTCCAATTTTTATTTCTGAGATAAATAGCTTCATACATTTAAAAAACTTTTTCTATTATTATTTTTTCTTTATGATGGACTGTGATATAAATGTAATTAGTCCAAATAAAAAAGAAGGCTGTGCCAAAACACTCAGTATTCAATACAGGTAAATGAATACTACATGCAGGCTTGGGATCTAATCTCCAAATACTAAATACCTGGCCCTAGTGGTTCGGGTTATTATCAAAAGAGTTTACACTTAGGCAAGTGTAAGAAGGCAGTCACATTCTTCTGTTTTTCCCAAGACTTGCACCATTATCTACAATATTGTCTTTATTATTATTATTTTAAATCCTCACTTGAAGAGATATTTATTGATTTTGGAGAGAAAGGGGGAGACAGAGAGAGAGAGAGAGAGAGAGAGAGAGAGAGAGAGAAACCCTGATCAGTTGCCTCTCATACACACCCGCTTCCTGACTGGGAATCAAATCCGAAACCTAGGTATATGCCCCAACTGGGAATTGAACCCGCAACTGTTCTGGTGCACAGGTGATGCTCCAACCAACTTAGCCATGCATCCGGACCAATATTCAGTCTTCTTATCAAAAAAATAATACACTAAGTTTGATAACTTTCTACATATAGATCTTGGTTATTTTTCACTAACGTAATTCCTAGGTATACAGAACATTCTGTTGCTGTAACGAGAAGCTATTTTATTCAGGCTTTCATTTCTGAGACTATGAGTAAGATTACTGCCTAGAATTCCCCAAGCATTACTGAAACTTTATATTGGTCTTCAACATACTATTGGTGCAAATAATACTACTGAATATCTCTCTCTCTCTCTCTCTCAAGATTTTCTTTGTATTTTTAACTGCTGTGTATCAGTGAAAATAAACTGAACCTCTTTGAAATTCTAAAACATTCATGTAATGATAGTCTACTTATATTTTGTAATGGTAAATCAATAAGAATCCTTAAGGTCAAAAAGAGATAGAGCCAAATGCTACTTACTAATGTCTTATCTAGATGTTTTAAGAAGTACATTAATTTCAACAATATTACTATTGTTATTAAAAAGATGGTGAGCCTCCAAATGAACGAATAACTTTTTGAGAATATAAGGGATATACCAATAATACACACACACACATTTTTTAAAAATATTTTTTCATTGATTTTTAGAGAAAGAGGAAGAGAGAGAGACAGAGAAAAATCAATGAGAGACACACATCGATCGGCTGCCTCCAGCACACCTCCCACTGGGAATTGAGCCGGAAACCCAGGTATGTGCCCTGACCAGAAAAAGAACCAGCAACCTCTTGGTTCATGGGTCAATGATCAACCACTGAGCCACACCAGCTGGGCCCAATAATGTACTTAAATTAGGCAATAAAATCTATTGAACATTAATAGAATTTACATGATTTTAAAAATATTTTCATTAAGTTAGAAAAATATATTTCCAGAAAGGAAACAAAAATATGATATCCATTTTTAAGTTTCTTTTGAAATCTCTTTTCTCCCACAATAGTTACATAAATATCACATCATTTCTCTTTCTTTTATATTATTTTAATATAGGACAGGTCAATATATAAAATATTATAGATATAAAATTTAAATTAAACTATGTTTTGCCAATTTTGAAATATAACATTAAACCATATAAATTAAAATATATAGCCTTGCCCTGGCCAGTTTGGCTCAGAGGTTAGAGCATCAGCCCTCGGACCAAAGAGTTGTGGGTTTGATTCTGATTAAGGGCACATACCATGGTTGCGGTTTGGTCCCCAGCCCTGGTCAGGGTCATGCAGGAGGCAGCCAGTTGATGTGTTCCTCTCACATCAATGTTTCTCTCTCTCCCTCCTTCCCATTCTATCTGAAAGAAAAAAAAAAATCAACAAAAAAATATCCTTGGGTGAGGATTAAAAAAAATTATAGCCCTAGATGGTTTGGCTCAGCAATTAGAATATCGGTTCATAGATCAAAGAGTTGCAGGATTTGATTCCAGTCAAGGGCACATTTCTTGGTTGCGGTTCCCTGGCTCTGATCAGAGCAGTGTGGGAGGCAGCCAACTGATGTGTCTTTCTCACATCAATGTTTCTGTCTCTCTCTCTCTCTCTCTCCCCACCTCCCTCCCACTCTAGCTGAAGATAAATGGAAAAATATCCTCAGGTGAGGATTTAAAAAAAAAAGATAGCCCTGGCTGGTTTGGTTCAGCAGTCAGAGTGTTGGCTTGCAGACCAAAGAGTCACAGGGTTTGACTCCAGTCAAGGACACATACCTCGGTTGCGGTTAGATCAATGGCCCTGATTGGGATGTGTGGGAGGCAGCCAATTGATGTTTCACATAGATGTTTCTCTCTCTCTCCTTCCCACTCTATCTGAAAATCAATGTAAAAAATCCTCTAGTGAGCATTAAAAAAAATTAATACTCCTGTATGCCCCCTGACAGGAATTAAGCCCACAACCCCCACATAGGATCAAGCCCATGTGTCCTGACTGGCAATTGAACCAGCGACCTTTTGGTGTGCAGGATGATGCCCAACCAACTGAGCTACATCATCTAGGGCTCTCATGTCCCTTCCTAGTCAATCCTCCCAGAACCAGTCACTTTTCTGATTTTTTTTTTTTTATCCTCATCCGAGGACATTTTTCCATTTTTTGTACAGACAGAGTGGGAGGGAGAGAGAGGAAGAGAGAGGGACATCGACGTGAAAGGGACACATTGAGTGGCTGCCACCCGCACGACCAACCAGGGCCGGGGACAAACTGCAAGCGAGGTACGTGCCCTTAGTGGGAACCGAACCCGGGCCTCTCCAGACCGCAGGTGGACGCTCTAACCGCTGAGCCAAACCGGCCAGGGCACTTTTCTGATTTTTTGACTATAGATAGTTTTTTGGGTTTTTTTTATGTTTTTTAATCCTCATCCAAGGACATTTTTACATTCATCTTCAGAATAGAGCAGGAGGGAGAGAGGGACGAAGAAAGAGAGAGAAACATCGATGTGAGAGTGACACATCGAGTGGTTGCCACCCACACGACTCTAACCAGGGCCAGGAACAAACTGTAATCAAGGTACATTCCCTTAGTGGGAACCGAACCTGAGCCTTTTTGGTCCACAGGCCGACGCTCTAACCACTGAACCAAACCAGCCAGAGCTAGTTTTGTTCTCTATAGCAATTCCTATAAATTTATACGTCTGATAAAAAAAAATTAATAATTATAACTCATGAATATATTCTTGCACATATAAAAATTTAGCTATGTGGTAATTATTTTGAATATTTGACTATATAATCTATTCAGCCATGGTAAAAGCAATTAACCAATTTTGAAAAAACAAAAACAAAAGAAAAAACTTAGCATCCGAGAAAAATTCCAAACTGTATTTTAGTAAAGACTAGTAGAGCATTCTTAATACTGATTCAGATACAAAGAGAAATAAAACACATTCTTTAAAATAATTTCTTAAGGGTAGAAAACCAATTTAAGAATATAATAGAACTGACCTTTAAAAGTTCCTCTGATGTAGGGCGATCTTGAGGGATTTTCTGGAGGCAAGAATCTACAAAGTTGCGAAAATAATCAGACCTATTGTAAAGGAAAGTATCAAGTGAACATATTGCTATTTCCTTTAAAAACAGATCCACAAATCAAGGTATGTGCCTATTGGTGGGAAGGGGGATGGAAAAAAATTATGAAAAAAAAATAAAGTACACATAATACACTATATATTTCACAGGAATCTATGAAAGCTATCTAAAGCAAAGTGTGCACCTTTACCATTTTCAAAGATAAACTTGCACATATTATTTAAAAATTCTGCTCCCACATATTTAAATAACACAACTCATTCTGAGAAGTCAATCTTTTTCTTCTTTGCATTCAAATCTAAAATGACATTCTTCTCAATTTGTTTTCTCTCTTCTCTAAGCCATTTCTTTCTTGTTTGCTCCTTGGATTATTTCCTATATAGCATGTTTGAGAACATCACTTTATGGGCTTTGGAAGGAGCATTTTTTATATTTGAGTATCTGATGTCTCTGAACAAATGGATAATACTTCCATTAAACCCAGAAAACCAATAAAGATATTTTTAAAAATATTGACAGTCTGCAACATATTACTATATTGATATCAATAAGAGTTCAGTGAGCAAGGCAGTAAATAATAATTACTCTATCAATGTTTGCTTTAAATATCAAATAACATTTTATGTTCTTGTGCAAGAAAATAATTATTTTTTGAATCCCCAAAGTATCACAATATAAAGACAGTATGTGTTCAATATATTTATTATTTATATATACCATAATAAACTCTGTGCCAAAAGATTCCTTCTACATATCTCTACATAAGTAGCACAGACCTCTGAATGTGTCTTAATTATGTAATCTTTTTAAAAAATTATAGATATAAGTATCGCTAATTTATGCATCTACTTGTGAATTTTAAAGTATGTATTAAATATACTAGAATTTCCCCTACTGTTTTTCAAATGCTAGATACACCTGAGGAATTAATTTCCCACTGGAATTTTCTATCACGAATAAAAATTCTAGTTTTCTAAAACTGTCAATCTGTTCTATATAAACTTCTTTACATAAATGAACTTATTCTCATCAAATCAAAGAAGCACTAGGAAAAGGAACATCAGAGCATTCTGAATAATAAATAACAACTAGAATGATCCCAAAGTTATAAATTATTTGATAATTCTAATAACTCAATCATTTTACCTTTGTTTTAGAACATATAATTATAAACCATTCTCCAACAAAATATCACCATAGGTAAGGCAATCTACATATTTTAGTTATAAATTATTAATGTTTAAATTGTGCTATTTATTATATATCAGGGTCACATGTGTGTGTTTGTGTGTGTGTGTGTTTGTGTGTGTGTGTGTCTATATATTCCTAAAGTTCAAAGAAAATATAAAATATAAATTTTTGTAAAAAGCAATACCCTGCTTTCATGTGGCATCACTGAGATACATATGCTGTGAAAAGCACACATAATAAAGGATAAGCATAAGGGTAAAATAAACCAATTTTATTTATCTTTGCCAATAGTTTATTTAACACAGGTTCACTGAGGGAATTTCACAAGCCAATAGCATACAAAATAATGTGTCTTAATAAGCCAATAAAAATAATGTATTCCAATTGTTACAGGAATAAACCTATTTTAATATCTCTTCAGGTAGTAATATGGTTGACCTGATTGAAATGAAATCATTTTGATAACAGTATGAAAAAGCACTTAATTTATACAATGGTACATAATGTATCTCTTAGCAGTACTCACCATTCATTAGACTGTAATGTAGGGGATTCATTTTGGGCTATGTGATATAAGGCACTCATTGCATTCATATTAAATAAAGGAGGCTTCCTTTCCGCTGTGAGAGAAAGAAAACTTGCCTGTTAAAATACATTCTTGTTATAAAGGGGCATACAAATATTGTTAAAGTTTTTTTAATAATCTCAAACTTAGCAAAAAAAATTGCAGAGTTCAAAGAACATTTTCAAGTAAATCAATTTAGAGTAAATTGCTGAACTGATGCCCCACCATTTCTAAATAATTTAAAACAAGAACATTCTACTAAAGAACAATACCTCCATTAAATCAGGTCATCAATACTGATACGACTCTCATCTAATCCTGAAACCCCATTCAAGTTTCAAGCAAATGTCAAATAAATGTCCTCTGTAGCAAACGTGAGCTACAAGGAAATTGTCCATTTTATCTATGTTGTGAAATTAACATAAAATTGTTCATACTGTATCCTTATAGTTCTTTTAATACCTATAAAATCTATAGTGATGTTACCTTTCACACCTGACTTTGTAATTTGTATCTTCTTTCTTTTTTTCCTGATCAATTGGCTAGAGGATTATCAATTACCTCAAAGAACTAGTTTCATATTTCACTGATCTGCTCTATTGATTTTGTTTTCTACTTAACTGATTTTCGCTTTGATCTTTTTTATTCTCATTCTTCAGCTTATTTTGGGTTGAATTTGCTCTTCTTTTTTCTAGTGTCTTAAAGTAAAAGTTAAAGTCATGACCTTCATAATTCTGAAGATATTAAGACTTTTGAATGTTCCTCAAGATGAATTTCTCTTATGATTAAGTTATACATCTTTGGCAGGAACACCACAGAAATAGATGCTATTTCTTTATCATTGTATTCTATGAGGCAGTGCATGACTCCAAATGGTCCTATTCTGACAGTGTTCACTTTGATCATTTAAGGCCATATCTGACAGGCTTCCTCATGGTAAAGTTTCTCTATTTTTTCTTTGTGAGAAGGTACTTTAAATCTATATAAACAGTTTTTCAAAAAACTCTCGTTTTAGTCTTTTATTTATTTATTGTATGGACTTAGAAATTTTTATTTAATAAGCTATAATCTGCTACTACTGTTTATTTTTATGTTCAAAATGCCTCATATTTGGTCAGTGAGAATGTTTTTATTCTGGCTTCTGTCTTTTTGACATTGTCTTATCACTCCTTGATCACCCCCTTGCTTTCTGGCACAGTAAGATATTCCAGGTTCATCTGGTGCTTTCCCTTCTTCTGACAACAGATCAATCGTTTCTTCTTCTTCTTCTTCTTCTTTATATTTATTTATTTGTTTTTTTTAATTTATTTAATTTATTTTTTATTTATTTTTTATTTTTTATCCTCACCCGAGGACATTTTTCCATTTTTTGTACAGATAGAGTGGGAGGGAGAGAGAGGAAGAGAGAGAGAGGGAAACATCGATGTGAAAGGGACACATCGAGTGGCTGCCGCCCGCATGACCAACCAGGGTCGGGGACAAACTGCAACCGAGGTACATGCCCTTAGCGGGAACCGAACCTGGGTCTCTCCGGACCGCAGGCGGACGCTCTAACCGCTGAGCCAAACCGGCCAGGGCTATTTATTTATTTCTGTTACAGATGTTTCTCCTTTTCCCCCCACTGTTTCCCTTCTCCCTCTCCCTCCCCACCCTGTCCCCAGCTTTGTTGTCCATGTCCATTGTTCATGCACAAATGCATATAAGTTCTGTGGTTTATCTCTCCCCCACCACCCCCTTTTCTGGGGATTGTCAGTCTGTACCCCACTTCCACGTCTCTAGGACTACCCCATTCCTCAGACTGTTATGTTCATTATTCAATCATTTCTTCAGAGCTGTGGCAATAGGTGTGCTCACTGCTACTGAGGTATCACTACTCTTAGATCCTCTCAGTGGATAAAGTTAGAAAATACATACATGCACATTAAACACCTATGTTTATTGAAAACAATTGTGTTCACTACAGCATCTCCAATCCAATCCCGTAATATTTATTCTAGCTTTCTCTCTTTCCATTATTTGTAATAACTTTCTCTGTCAATGAAAACCCTTGCTCTGATCATCCTTAATATATTTTCTTATTTGATAAATTCCCACTGTAGGTAACCAGTCTCTTGTCATTGCCACTACCCTCTCTCCTGAGTAGATGTCCCCCTTTTCCCTGAAGTTTTGAAACATCATTCAAAGTCACTCTATAGTGTCACTGTACTCTTCATTCACTCAGTTTCATTTTTTAAAAAATGTTTTCTTTTTACTGATTCTACAGAGAGAGGGAGGGAGAGAGAAACATCTATGTGAAAGAGAAACATTGATCAGCTGCCTCCTGCATACACCCTGACTGAGGGTCAAACCCGCAACCAAGGCAAGTGCTGACTGGAAATCGAACTGGTGACCCTTTGGCACACATGATGATACTCAAAGAACTGAGCCACACCGGCCAGGGCAACCCACTCAGTTTGATACCCCACCCAAACCGCAGTGAGGCCCTCTTCATGAGTCCTTACAAGGGAAGCACTCTTCTTTTTGACGAGGCACTGCGTGTGTGTAGGCACCCCCCAAAATGGATGTCCTCTTTAGACTCTAATACCATGCAATAGATCACTCTCCCTATTGTAACCTCCTTACTCTACTTGCACTAATACCCCAAGCTAAGCCTGCCTCAGTCACACCACCAGGGTTCTGAATCTTCAAACCTGACTGCCCACCTGCATGGATAGATTCTGTTTCCCCATAGGAGGATATTGGTCTGTGAGAACTCCCTCCTCTAATCACATGACTCTGATGCTCCATCCTGGGATATCACGGCTCACCAGCCAAATAGTTTGGAAACAGGACAGAGTTACTGAAAAAATTATGAATGAATGGAAAAACTTGATTCTATGATAATTTATTAGAGTATTTAAAATTTTAAACGATGTTCCTTTTTTTGTTGTTGTTAATCCTCACTCGAAGATATTTTTTTCCATTTATCTTCAGATAGAGTAGGAGGGAGAGATGGAGGGGGGAGGGAGGGAGGGGGGGGAGAGAGAGAGAGAGAGAGAGACATCAACTGATTGCCACCCGAAAGACCTGGACCAGGGCCGGGGGCCGAACCGCAACCAAGGTATGTAGCCTTGACTGGAATCAAACCCACAACTCTTTGGTCTGTGGGCTGATGCTCTAACTGCTGAGCCAAACTGGCCAGGGCAAACAGTGTTCCACTTTTAAATGGTATACCATCAAATTATCAATCCATACTATGCTTTCTGATTTTATAATTTACTATAAAATTGAGTATCTCTCAATTTTGTCAACAAACACCGAACTTAGCTAAAAAATATAGTTTTGAGTACAGGTCTTTGACCTCCTTAGTTAAATTAATTCCTAGGCATTTAACTCTATTTCATATGATTTATATGGGATTTTCTTAATTTCTCTTTCTGATAGTTTGTTGTTAGTATATAGAAATGCAATAGATTTCTGTACATTGACTTTGTATCCTGCAACTTTATTGAGTTTGTTTTAGTTCTAACTGTTGTTGGAGTTTTTAAATCTTTCTATGTATAATGTCGGTCAACTGCAAATAATGAGTTCTACTTCTTCCTTTCTGATTTGGATGGGTTTTTTTTCCAATTTTTTTTCTTTTAATTTATGTTAGAAAGAGAGAGGGAGATGGAGAGAGAGAGACAGAAACATTGATGAGTGAGAACATCACTTGGCTGCCCCCTGCATGCCCCCCACTGGAACCTAGGCCCACAACCTGGGCATGTGCCCTGACCAGGAATCAAATTGGTGACCTCTTGGTGCATGGGTTGATGCTCAACCACTGAGCCACACTGACCAGATGCCTTTTATTTCTTTATCTTGCCTTAATTGCTCTGGTTAGGACTCCAATACTATATTGAATAAAAGCAGCAAGAGTGAGCATCCTCCATATAGAATCCAAGATGGCAGCAGATTAGGTGGAAACTACACTTACCTCCCAGGACCAAACTGGAATTACAACTAAAGTATATAATATTCATCCTTACTAACCAACTGAAGAGTAACTGAAGAGAAGCCTTATAATGAAGCACTTACTAAGGAGGCCACAGCAAGACTAGCGGAAAGTGCAGAGGCGCGAGCAGGTGGGTTGGGCTCCCATAGGTGGCAGCTGAAGTTCAGAGAGGTATCTCAGCTATGGGGAGTTCCTCTTGAGAAGTCTGGGGTCTAAACCCCAAGCTGGACTCCCCAGTCCACAGAACCAGAACCAGGAAAGATGCCCATATAACCTTTGGCTGTGAAAAGCAGTGGGGTTTCTGTCTTCCAGAGATAGCTAGAAACACAGGCAGACACACCCCTTTTTTTATCCTCACCCGAGGACATTGTTCGATATTTTGTTCAGATAGAGTGGGAGGGAGGGAGAGAGAGAGAAACATCGATGTGAAAGGGACACATCGAGTTGTTGCCACCCGCATGACCCAACCAGGGCCAGGGACAAACTGCACCTGAGGTATGTGCCCTTAGCGGGAACCGAACCCGGGTCTCTCTGGACCGCAGGCCAACGCTCTAACCACTGAGCCAAACCAGCCAGGGCAACATCCTTATTTCTTTTTTTTTTTTTAATTTTTATTATTAATATTTTTCTTTTCCTTTTTAAAAAAAAAATCTTTATTGTTGAATGTAAAATGTATTACAGATGTTCCACATTTTTCCCCCATTGACCCCCTCCTCCCCACTCCCGCCTTTTTCCACACTATTGTCTGTGTCCATTGGTTATACATATAAGTTCTTTGGTTTGTTTCTTCCCACACCCCCAAACCCTTTACCTTTGAGGTTTGTCAGTCTAGCAATGAATTTGTACTTCTTAATCTCTTCACCTTTTTCACCCATTCCCCCACCCCCCTCCCTACTGGCAACCAACAAAATGTTCTCTGTATCTATGAGAATGTTTCTGTTCTACCTGTTCATTTTGTTTGTAGATTCCATTGTCGAAAGATATGTATTCATTGCCATTTTGTTTGTTCATATATTTTATCTTTTTCTTCAAAAAGACCCTTCATCATTTCATATAATAACGGTTTGGTGGTGATGAACTCC